AGAGTGTTGAGAGTAATGGAAACTAGAAAGAAGAACTTATTGTGGTCTTATTTTGCAAAGTAAAGGGATGTATAAGTTGAAGTTGAAGATACGGTATATTTACCCGGGTTATCAAGATTTGTTGTAACACTTGTTTCTATAAAATTTCTATAAAATAAAATCCCTGAACGCACAGAGAGGGCCTGCAGGGGGCAGTGACACACTTTAATGTAACTAAACGGACGTCTAAAGAAGAAGATCGTGTTTTGATTGGTCAGGATGAGAGGGGCACGTGACTACATGTGACTGTTAACGGTCAACGGATTGGATGAAGCCGAAGTCTAACAACCAATCACAGCAAGACGTCGCTCACGTTGCGTCCGTCTGCGTGATCCAATCTTGCATCGGCTAACCTGAATGCTAAGTAAGCTAAAGAGTTTTAGCTCCAAACGCCGTGTTCTGAATAAAAAACGCTCTGATTTATGTGAACGCACACACAGACAGGACGTGTCCGCGAAGAGCTTTCTCCGCTTCGAGGTTTCATTGAGCCAAACGAGGGGGAAACTGCGAGGCTACGTGAGTGTGTGGCTAGCTCCTCGTTTGTTGCAGGCAATTGTTGGGTGTCTTTAAACATCGCCGGCTTTTTTTTTTTTTTTTTTTAGCAAGGGTCTGTGATTGGAAACACGTGTCTGGAAGAAAGCAATTCAAGGCGGGCAAAACAGCGACCTGTACCCGCTCCGACAGCCTGGAGGTAACAAAATAATATTGCTTGTAAAAATAAAAATGTGTGTCTTTCTGTGTGGGGACATGTGCTGCACACGCGCACCTGCAGGCAGGTCTGTAACTCTCAGACCTCTGACAACTTCTGAAAAAGGCCTCCTTCTCAGTATAAAGAGCTGATGCAAGTGCAAAAGCAACAACTGTGATGGAAGACCTGTTCAGATCATTTGCCTTGGTAAAAGAAGCAGTAAGTAATTAGTCCATATGCACATTGTTAGTAGCAGCCTGCTACTAAAATTCTTCTCTACCTGAGAAGAATTTACCAGCGTTCAGCCACTGATCGGTTCACCGTAGGATCAGATCTATTTATGAAATCCTTTTTCATCAAAGTGAGGCTCATGTGTAATCAAACTTTTGTTCTGTGTCGCAGCAGATGGTCAGACTGTGAAACCAAAGCCAGGACAGGGACCCCTAAGTAAGCTGTGAGGATCGTGTCAAATTGTGAATTCTTCAGACCTCATGTTATTTCACCTTTCCACTTCAAGGTGAAATTGTCTCATCTAACAGCGGCTGGATCATGGCCCGGAAACCATGTAGCTCCGTGTGTTGGTTTGTTGCTAAATGCTGCTACATTTGAGCCGCCTCGCTCACACTTGGCTCGCCGGAAAGCGTTCTTCACTCTCTGCCAAATGCACCGAGCACAGAGCCAGCGGAGCAAAGCGAAATACTTGAAGAGGAGGAAGGGATCCATTTCTTTAATCAATGGGGTCTCTCACATGTCCAGGCGAGCCAAGAGGCGCTTGTACTGTAAACTACAGCTTTGGATGTGGAGGAAGTGGAGAGAGAAGTGCCACTTTGGGATATTTAGAGCTAAAAAACGCTTTGGCTCGGGCCCTGGCCTCAGTTTAAAGACACAAAAAAATAAAAGGAAAGCGTACCACGCGCTGAATGCAGCAAAAACATCAGTCCTTGTGTCAGCTCTTGGATGTGATACTGGAGGTTCAGAGGATCCCCTTAAAAGACAGAACCAGGATGTGAACACAGATGCTGCTGCAGGTACTGATGGTGAAACCATTACAGGAGAAACTTTGGTACACATTGGTGAAATTAGAGAGCCTTTAAGACACTGTCATAGTATCCAATCTTCATTAAATGCAGACAGTTACACATGTGAAGACGTCACACAGAGCAGGGTACCAGGAACAACTCCTGCACAAAGACTCGAGGTCGGCAGCCCATCAGCACAGACTGCTGGTACTCCAGGCCAGGACCAGAGTACAGTCACAGATACTGATGAGACCATCAGTAGTAAAAAAACAGTATCCCCTCACACTGATGTCAGCCTGAACGCACTGACGAAGGACATCCACGGTATGTGCATCGTTAACATTTGGTGCAACTTTCTTCTCTGGGCCGTTTGTTAAGAGTTTCTGTGTTTCTCCAGAGTTTCTTGATGACTTCTACATGAAATATGGAAGCTTAATCCCATTACGTAAGAACGACGTCTTGAGGCATCTCAAGGGGAAGTTTTACACTGGTTTAAGTGACAGGTAAATCAGAATTCTGTTGTTGTGGTAAAGAGTAAGTGGGAGCTTTCTGAGCGTTGCCTGTTTGTGTCTGTTCAGGAAAAACACAGTCCTCTCTGAGGTTACCAGATACCGAGCTGCGATCCTCCAGAAGCCCGTCCGGTCTTTTCAGGTGGTCTACAAGAAACACACGTTGACTCTGGACGATTTGTTGACGCTGGCAGATCAGAACTGGCTCAACGACCAGGTTAGCATCATCTATAACACCAAACACGCCATGCTTTACTGGATTCACTGGAGTGTGAATGTTTAAGATCAATGTAACGGGTGTGTGTACGCATTTGTTGTTTCTGTTGAAGGTTATGAACATGTACGGGGAACTGATCATGGATTCATCCCATCAGAAGGTAATTAAACAAAGCTCTAAATGAAGCTCTAAAAATGCTGGAATTTTTCTTGCATCGGAACGCTAAGCGAGGAAAGATTTCACCTACCTGAGTTTTTCAATAAAGGGACTATAAGGCTGTATGTATTTCTATATTATTTAACGAGGTCAGTTTATTTACTCCAGACTGTTTAAAATGCTTTTTACCCCTCCGCTGTAAAAGGCTGACAGAGTATTGCTGTCACCCTGCCGGGCAGGCAGGCATGGAGGAGGAGGAGAGCTGGAGAGGGAATCAAGCCAGTTTCAGGAACAGTTTCTGCTCCTCTGTACAAGGAGGAGCAGAAAAAAGCAGGAGCCCCACAAAATGACTTCCAGCTGCTCTCTATGAGGGTGGCATGAGAACCTAATGTCCTTTAGTTGGAGCTCACAGATGATCTTCGTGCAGCTCGACTGGCTTTCGGTGCCACAGATCACCAGAACGGGCAAGTCGACCACTGGCACCCGTCGCTTTTCACACATGAGAGCAGATTCACTGAACTTGTGTAGCAGACCTGAGTCTGAAGATATCATCCAAACGTGATACTCTCTGCAGCATCAGCCAGGATGATTGGTTAGGCAGTCGGTCAGTGATGCTCTGGTGACGAATAGCCTCTGAGCGTCAAACATGGCTCAGCTTGTTAGCCAGTGCTGCGTTGAGTGCTGTTAGATATGGAGATGAAATCCACAGACCTACAGTTAGACCTTATGCTGGTGCAGTAGGCCCCAGGTTCCTTGCTAGTAGCCCATGTAGTGCTGTGGACTACCCCTAGGAGTACTGGTACCCCAATATGAGACAATACTGTAGATATCGTTCCAATATTTATCCTATTACTTGAAAGCGATGTTTGATCCTAGAACTTTTAAATCTACGTATTTTTAATTGTTATAAACTGATGATTTCTGTTTGTCTTCGCTTTTAGGTCCATTTTCTCAACAGTTTCTTCCACCGGCAGCTGATGACCAAAGGATACGATGGTGTTAAGCGATGGACGAAGCAGGTGAGCTCTTAGATGGAAATGATGTGATACCCTTGTTAGTCATGCAGCTTTCTATTGCCATGTTTCTCCCAGAAGCAAAAAGAACTAACATAACTTTTATTTCTATGCAGTGAAAAGTATGAAAAAAGTCTCTAAAGAACTAAAGAGTGGGTGGGATGGGTGGCTGTGATCTCGTTTGTCTCGTCCAGGTGGATTTGTTTTCTAAGAGACTTCTTTTGGTGCCTATCCATCTGGAGGTTCACTGGTGTTTGGTGACTGCCGACATCGTCCAAAAGAAAATCTGCCTTTATGACTCTCAAGGGAACGGGCTCCAGAAAGTTGGAAGGGTAATTACACACTTCACGTACACGCAGTTACTTTGACAAAATACTTTTTCTATCTAAACGTTTTCCTCTCAACAGAACATCCTGAAATACTTGATGACCGAAGCAAAAGAAAAGAAGCAAACTGCTTTTGAAAGCGGTTGGACGGTGGCGTTCGATGAGGTACGTCGTCCTGGTTTAAACTGTTACCTGTTTGAACGCTCGCTCTCACTGACACGATGTGCTGTCTCCCCCTGCTGCTCCTCGCAGAAAGTCCCGCAGCAGACCAACGAGAACGACTGCGGAGTTTTTGTTCTGGAGGTATGTGCGACTTTGTTCGCGTGCATGATCGTTTCAGATTTGTTTCTGTTGCTTGCTCACTACATGATATTGCTCTTTTACAGTATTCTAGATGCCTTGCTCTGACAAGACCCCTCCACTTCTCACAAAAAGACATACCAAAGATACGAAAGAGGATCTACAAAGAGCTCTGCGACTGTAAGCTCCATGAACAGGACTGATGAGTCATTAACTTGTTGGATGGATGTGTTTTGGTATAAAAATAACATAATAAGCAACTTAAAGAAGTCCAGATGCTTTTCTTTCCAAGCTCCTTGGACTACGATGACCTGGTCCAAGGATGACTGAGAACCTTCACAGACAACATCGTGTAGGGTGTGATTGTGGTAGCAGCTCCACAGCGGCCTTACATTATGTATATAATGTGAAAATACGATCCCTGCTGCGAAATATAATTCACTCGTCAGGTCACATTTTCATCCATTTTGGTAACTACTGCATATGATCAGTATTTAATCAAGCATGTCTTTGAGAGGAGAAGACGAGTGGACTTACCTGGAGCCATACGGAGTCTGTCCTGTCCTGTGTCCGTTTGGCAGCTACTATGTTTCTGTGAATCTTATTGGCACCATTGTTAGCATCAGATTTGACCTGTTATCACCAGATGAGTGAATTGAAGTAGTGTTTTCTTGAATGTGCCTGTTTCAGATGAGCAATATGTATACAAAGGATTTAAATAAAAACTGTCATTTTCCAAACATTTCACATTTATTTATATTTGTTTCTCCTAAAAGAGACCTTTAATGCTCATTTCCATCCACATGTTTTTTTCCTGTGACTCAGAGTAGGTTTGCATGATTCATATTTCAGTATGATCCTTTTTTTAATCACATATTGGACCTTTTGCAGCCCGTCAGGTGTGCCTGATAGTCATATTAGGCATATCACATCACACAGTGCCAAAAGAAAAAAAAATGCATAAAAGTGAGTGTTTAACTCACGTTTGCATTTGCTGACCTCACCAGTTCAGTCTCTATCCATGTTTAACATGAGCATCCACAATTGTAGATGCTATGTTTGAGAAATGAAGGAAAAGCATAATGGGTTCCCTTTCAAGATCAGATACTGTATGCAGGACAACTTATTTTATATTACGTTACATAAATATTTGTAAATACGTCTTAGATACATATATTGTAATTTCAGTTTCATCCACTTGATTATAACTATGCGAGGAACAGTTACAAAACCCAGTGAGAGAAAAGCTGTCGCACAGATCAAAAAGTGGATATTTAAGGCACACACAGAGCTCTCTAAAGTGTAGTTTTCAGTATTAGAACCAGATTCACACACTGTCAAAAACACGATGGAGTATGTATTGTTCAACATAACCAAATAAACCTGTTCACAACAGACACATCTCTATTGCTGACCCTGTCAATACATTACACGAATACGTAACGTATATCAACAGCCACTGTTCCTCGTTAGCAGCTCGTTGTAAAGCTGAGATTTAAAAAAAATTGTCTTCATAAAAAATTCAAACATTCATAAAAGTCTCATGTTTACGAGTGCACACTGAAACCAAGAGCTGTGTATCTGCAACACGGACCACTTAAATACTGCAGGTATTATGTAGATTAATGCAGATACACCTGGTTTATCAACCTAAATCACAAGAGGCCACAAAGGAGAACAGTTTCCCCTTACCACGGAGACTATGTAGGTAGATATATTTGCTCGCAATGTCTGTGGACATGTATGTTCCCACAGGAAGAGATAAAACTGATTCATACAGCCCAAAGGTGTTGCAGATCTCCTCCAGTAGATGTGCTGTTGTGACTGATTAACCCTTCACATCGAGCTAGGTCTGATTTTATTCATCATAAAGAGGGTCTAATCGTTGATCTGGAACCCCCACTCAATTTCTGGCTCGTCGTCGAGACGAATCACGAGGTAGGACACGAGCTGGAAGAGGTTCTGCCACAGGCCCAGGAAGAGGTACAAGTAGAAGTCGCTGACGTCTATTTGGCAGTGAATCCCCGAGTAATTCATGTCGCACACGCACTCAAAACTGTTCACATAGTTGACACAGAAACCTCCGTTCATACAGGGGTCAGAGGCACATTCATCCACGTCCTTCTCACACCTGAAAGGAAAATTTAAAAAAGTTCTGTTTTTGGCCACCTGGGGGCAGTAGCTGCACTGAAATGGACTTTTAAAATCACAAGTTGCGTGCAAATTAACTATCATTATGCATGTCATACCATTGTCCCGCGAAGCCAGGCAGGCAGTAACAAGCATCATCAGCCTCGGAGCAGCTTCCTCCATTAAAGCAGCTGTAGTTCCACCGTGTACCCGTGCATGTAGACACGGGCAACCGAGGAAGTCTGGGCAAACATCAGAAGAGAGAAAGTAAACACTGTTTAATTCAGAAATGGTTGATTTGTTGTTTACTTGGTTAAGTGAAGTGTGTTGAATTTGATGTAATAGCACTTACGGATTGGTCTCGATGTACCATGGGATTTCAGGGAGTTTCTCGCTGTAATAGAGAAGTTTGCAAATCAGCACAACTGGTGACATTGCTATCTCTGGTGACATTGAAATCAACTCTTGAGGAACTCACTCGCAGTACTGGCCGGTCATATTTTGAGGGCATAGACAGGAGTACGTCTGGAAGCCTTTGAGGCACGTGGCGCCGTGGCTGCAATTGCTTTTTTCACACATATCGACTTCTACCTCACATTGCTCGCCGCTGTACCCCTGCTCACACGCACACTTATACCCTCCAGGTAGGCTGACACAGTTGCCGTAGAGACAGGGCCCGGAGATGCAGGGGTCTGTCGAGTCTTGACACAGGTGGCCCGTCCACTCGGAGGAACACGTGCACTGATGCAGGTCAAACAGGTCCTCGCAGACACCCTCGTTCCTGCAAGGGTTAGGTGTGCAAACACTGGCTCCCCAGCAGCCGTACAGCAGGGGAGCATTGCTGTTTATCCTCAAAAACTGCTCCTCCTGAGGTCTGGGCAGGTTCAGCTCTGTATCGGGGTGGAAAGGGAGAAGAAGCCCCCCAATCTCGACAGGACCCAGACAGCCAGACAGATCCACTCCAGCATTCAGGCTTAGACCACCCAGGAAGATGTCCGCTTCCTTGCTGAGAAACTCCAGGTCACCCACAGCTGTTTTGGGCATGCTAATGGCCTCCTTTCCTCCATCCACGACCATGATCCAACTGGAGGTCGATGCCTGGGTTTCCAAGCTGAGCTTCACAGTGTGCCACTTTCCATCACTGAACTGAGTCTGGCTTTGAATAGACACGTTGTCCTTGTCACCCCCAACCTGGAGATCCATGACCACATGAGAGTTCAGGAGAGAGACCGTCAGGTAGTTTGAGTCCTTGTGTGCATGCAGTAATGTGGCAGCAAGCCGTCTTGAGCGGAAGCTGAGGGAGACACTGGTCAGGCTGCGCTTAATCTTTCCATTGCTCCGGTATTGTGGAATGCTGCTTCCAAGCCGAAATGTCACATTAGACAAGCCTGTAGCAGAGACAGGGAGGAGCAGCTTACTTGTTGCAGTCTCAAAGCATCACACCCATACAGACTACAGTCCCCCCTGAACATTAAAGACTCATGTTTTCAGGTCTTGAAGAGTAACCTAATACCACATTGCTCTTAGTCCTCCCTGTGGCTGAAAGTTTGACACAACCCATTGTAAATATGCTCTACATTTTGGGGCGTGGGCCATATTATAAAGCAAATTAATCTTTTCCCAATTTCCTTTATTTTTAACACATGTACACAGTAGATTTTGTATTACTCGATTGTCCTTTTTCCTTTTCAGTTATCCAATATAGATGTGAGAAGAACTTTTCTCCCTTACAAATGCTAAAACAAAAAATAAATGCCATCTAAATTTGCAGGCCTATGTGAATTTAATTTTCTTTCTTTCAAAATCACTGTTCACATCTCTCAAAAGGAGTGTCTCAAACCCCGTAAAGTACCTTGAGGTTAGTCAAGGCTAATCCACTCCATAAAATACCCTTAAAACTACAGTCTACTTACAATGTAAGATTGGGACATGTTATTGGTTTTACTGTCAAATTACCAAGAAATTATGCTGCACTTAGAGCAGCAATTACTTAGAGTATGACTTATCCCCTTTCCTGTAAAATACCCAGAATTGTGGCACTATGTAAAGTTACTTACTAATTACTAAAAATTACTTACAGACTTATTCAATTTATTTACAACAATTATTTATTTGCGTCCTCTAAAAGCATTATTCTAGTATTCCTACCTTTATGAATGTGTAGGTTATTATAATTACATTGTAATATCAAATAAAAAAACCACTGACATTCCATTAAATTACAGGGGAATTACATGCTGAGTTGCACGCTGTATTATAAAGCGTTAAACCAGTTTCTTTAAGAACTGCATACTGCTCATGTTTAATAAAAAAACAGTCTGGTCTGCTTTTACAAAGCGCACCCTGTGAGCGGGAAGTTCCTAGTGTAGTCACAAGGTTAGAGTTTAATTAAGCTAATGTCTTTTTTCAGGACTCTGTAAGTTCAACCACACTTGACAGTAGCCTGGCAGCATAGCAAATACAAACATACCAACTCTGCCTCAGCGGAAACTGATTTGTACTGGCGTACAGAAGGAGATGATTCCACTTTATTCTGACTGAGCCTTAATAACTTCAACGAAAACATAATTCCAAAAACATCCAGTGTGAAATAACCCCACTGTCCTTACCGTTTGTTTTTATTTAAACAGCAAATTAGCTCAAAAACTGTTTAAAAAGCTACTGTTTTTTCCCCTCCCCTCTGTGAACATGTGACTGCTCCAGGAAGACATGTCATCATAAACTACCACAGCCATGTGGCAGCAGAGTTAATCTGACCAGGGATTACCACGCCTTAGAGGAATCCCATGCAGGATCCCTGCCTCTACTGTGTTCCCTGCTGTAATCAACAGTGCTGTAATTAAAACTGTGTGTGCACCATTGAGTCCCCTAAAGGGACGTGCAGTGCTGATGATGTCTTCAGTGGATGTCAGTTCGCTTGCACATTACTTGTAAATTCTTCCAAATGCTTGCATGTGCCATGAATGGGAAATGAATTCTTAAAGAGTCTTTATTCCTCCCTGATGATGTACTTTCAGGACATGCATTATGCATGACTGGAACCTGTTATCAGGTTACTTACATTCAAAACCCTGAGAGAGGGGCTGACACATTGCAGCAGCTGGGCAGGGAGACAGCTCGCACCATTTCACCTCCTCACAGCGCCGCCCTGCAGTGTTGGGGGGGCAGTTGCAAATGAAATCATCCCACATGGAGTAACACACTCCCCCGTTAAGACAGGGGTTCACCTAATGCAGAGAAGACAGTATCAATTAATTATAAAGCACTCTTTCAGTGTTAGTGCAGACACCAGGGTCGCAAGGGGTAGCAGCTCATGCACAACAGCGTTATCGATATGGCAGCACTGCCATAACTCACAGCACAGGCGTTGTCGCTGCTGCATCCTTCTGCAACGCTGATGAGTTGTTCCAGGTTGTACGATTCTACCGGAGTTGATATTGGATAGAACTGCAGTCTTTTGTTGTTAATCCTCAGATCCTGGATGCATCCCTTGAAGTACCCGCCAAAAGAAGCCGATGCCCTTGAGTCTGGTAGCCCCCCGACATAAACCATATCCCCAGGATGGACCTGGATGAGCCTGATGGGTATAAAGCCCTGGCTTTGGGCTGACTGGAACAAGGTGGCTACCACTCCTTCCAGTTTCAGAGTCACCAGGTGGAAATGGCCGTCATTGATCACAGCCCGACCGACCAGGGTCTCAAAGTTGTTGACCTGAACTTTGATCATACCCACTTCCAACCACAGGCGGAGGTACTGGCTTGTGGTGTTAGTCATGATAAGGAGCAGACCACTGGACTGTCTGGTGCGGATGAACATGGATATGATCACAGTATCACCTGGGTCATCATCCAATGAGAACACAGCATAGCTCTCGAGGTCTTTGTTTCCAAACCTGGCTGTGATGTACTCTGTATAAGCACGAGAAAGAGAGAAATTCATAATTTACTTAACAGGAGCAGTAAAGTCTTACATGTACAATCCCAGTAAAATCAAAAATGTGCAGCATCTCCAGTCTTTATGTAAGTGATAAAAAGATGTATCGTCTTATCTAACACCAATTAGTCTCTAATCTCATTTTTAAGCAAAAGAATGCCATGATTATTGTACAGTCGTCAGTGTTATGGGAACTAAACGAGTTATTGTTTCAGTAAAAGGTTTTTACAATGAAGAAGGCTCGCAGGTCATTACAAGGAGGAGCTCCTCAGTTTGGCAACCAAAGAAGACACAAGTCCATAAGACTCCCTGATCTGGCAAACTGAAGGCATTCCCGGTCAATTACTGAACACCACGTTTTTTTAATCCTCGATGCAGGTGTATGTTCTAAAAGCATGGCTGTTTGACTTGACAGTCTGCTATTTCTACCAGCTCCGTAAGCTCCTTTAACGTCTGCCGACTAATTTTATCCTGCAGGGTGCTTCTCTTCACAGCTCACCACTGACACTTGAGCAGCAAGATGACTCAGGCTGAGCTTGAACTTGAACCAGTGCACCTATATTTAAAGGGTATCTCCAATAATTTGTCATCAGCTAAATTAAATGTTATTCAGGATTCAGAAATGTTACCTAACAGAGATCAGGTTAGCGCTAATGGGTGTGGTTCAATGGAAATCGCACCACATCTATTAAACCAAAAGTTGCACAAGGCCAAAAAAGGCTTTTGCTCACAAAACCTACATATTTTTTAAAAGTTATAACCTCAGACTGAAACAGCCATTTGTTAAAGAGGACCTCCATTGCTGTGTTTCATTGTGGGAAAGAAAATTTGTTTTTTGAGGTTCTGTACCTAAAGAAATAAAAAGACTATGTAGGGAGGAGGCTGGGATGGAGAGACAGGTCAACAAAACACTGGATGCAGAGCTTTTTAATGCCATGACTTTATGCAGTATTTGATGTTGCAGGTAAGGAAACAAACACAGGAGAAGCCCTGAACAGTAGGCGGGGACAGACAAGGTTTTTGTGGATGGCGGAGCAAATAGGAAGAAAAACTGGGAACTAACAAGCAATTTGAGTTTATTTGAGAATCTAATTAAAAAATTTACACAGCTTGCAATGATGTTAATGTATATGTAAGTCTTACCCTCTGCACAGTTGTTTCCCTCATATGGCCTGTGGCACTCACAAAGGTAACCCCTCCAGCCTTGGCTAACACAGCGGCCTCGGTTCTGACACGGGCTGTCGTCACACTTGTCTTTGTCGCTGCACCCCACAGTGATGTTCGCCTGGATGTGTGAACCTTCTGGCGCTATAACCGGCAATAACAGCCGTGAGTCTACAAACACATCTCTGAAGCAGCCCAGAAAAGCAGGAGGGTAGTCTGCTTCCTCCACTGCCCTGCCCAGTGTCCAGTTCCCACTGATTGCTCCAATGAAGAGGCTGTGACGAACTGCTTCGGGCTCAGGGAGAGAGGAGGCCTGTTCAAGCAGCTGGACTTCAGCATTGGACTCTCTGGTGCAGCTTCCTTCAGTGCATAGCAGCCTGATGAGACTGATCACGCCACCCAGAGATGCTTCCACTGTGTGCCACTTGCTGTCAGACAAATATCCTGGAAGCTCTTGAACCAATGTGCTGGAGCCTTGGCCTCTCAGGCTGAGGAGGCAGAGATGCCCGTGCATCAGCTCGATGCTGAAGAGCAGATCGTCCACCCTGCGTTGTAAGAGGGTGCCAACCAGTTGTTCCGTCCTGAAGCTGAAGGTGACGTTAAGAGGAGCTTCTTGGTCTAGGAGCGGCGTCTGTATGTACACATAGCCTCTGGACTCAAATGAGAAAACAGTAGGAGTCTGGCATTTAGGGCTCGTGAAGCCAGCAGGGCAGATGCATGTGTAACTGTGGTGATCGTTCACAAATAAGGGAGAACACACTCCTCCATTTTCACACTGGTTCTCATTACAGCCTGTAAGTGCAACTGTGCAATTCTGTCCACCATACAGCTGCCCGTTTTGGCTCTGAGAGGCGCAAAGGCATCTGAATCCTCCATTGTGGCTCTCACATACACCACCGTTTTGGCATGGCTGCTGTTCACATCCACTGATGTCCTCGCTGGAGACGGTGTCTAGAGAACAGATTATAGTTCATTATAACTTTTTATACATATATTTGTGTAAACAGAGAGGCACGTAAGGCGTCTACACAAATGAATTAATTTTAAACATACAAAAAAAAATCAGCTGTACAAACTTCAGTACACTTCACTTCACTTCAAATGTGCCAATGACGAGGTGAGAACGAGAGCAGAAAAACATACTAATGACTCTAATATTGACCTGTGACAACAACACACAAGTTATATTTACCTGCAAAAAGCAACCACAGCATGCACAAATACACGCTGAATCTCAACATTGTCCCTTACAATCCTACAAACTGTTCAATATTTGGCAGGTTTGTTATTTTGGATCAAACACAGGTGAAAATACTTGCATGTGCACCTCCATCTTCACTGCCTGAGGACCACTGTTTGTGTGCGTTCACTGAAATGCATGGATCGCTGCACGCCAGATAGGAGGGATTAAGCTAATGCACTTACAATGTCTTACACGTTAAACGTGTTGGGGAAGGGAGGGGTGCACCCAAGAGGCTAATCTGAACAACTTCAAGCATGTTCCCTGGACAGAACTCTAATGTCCTCTTATGTAAGGGATGGCGATGCCAGAGGTGCCAGAGTTTGGGCACAACTGATATTCAGTTTGAGAATTAAGTTTATGTAGAGGTAAGCAGTCCTTCCATTCACTTTTATGCACATGTCCTGAAACATGGACACTAACGCAAATGGATGTGTGCACGTGCACACACATATGCACTGCAGGTTGAGTGCAGTTTGGCTGCAGTGGGTTGGATCAAGGCTCCAGTCTTTGAATGAGGCAAACTGAGGCCAGTGTTTCTAATCTGGGAAGCATCTTTGTCATTTAAATGCCTCTGACGTAACCACAATTCATTTAACTCTAAGAGCATTCACTTTGGTCTCTGGTACAACTAATGGGCTTGATGCTCTGTTTGTGTTGCTTATTTTACCATTGGTCTGGCTCAGGCTGATAAACCTAGGACTCCACCCTATGATGAGGGTTTTGAACCCTTAAACTCATTCACTGAAAATATTACCAAAATACTCCGTATTGCCATGCATTCACTTTAGTGAATTCAGAAGTACAGTGCTAACAATGTACTTCAAATTTAAATATACAGTACAACCAAATTGCCCTGCAGGAGGTGGGTGACTCTGTAAATTCTTCCACCTGGAGGGGCCACAGCCTAATCGTGGATTCACATCCAGGGGCCTTCTTGCTGTGGGTCAACAGTGCCGACCATCTCACCACGATTCCACCAATATTACTTTATATTATATTTTTGTTGCAATTGGCTGGGAATTTTTACATTTTTAAAAACAAAATACTGCATTTATATGTTGTCAACGGTTTAAAAAAAATCTTAAATGTTAGCTGTCAGATAAATGTAGTTGGAAAGTAGAAAAAAAAGAAAGCCAATATGCCATTAGCTGTTGGACTACATTACCCATGATGCCGTCGTGTTATGAGCTCACGATGATAATCGACAAAAAACACCCCAGCCTTTGTTTATTTCGTCTTTGACTTTTCATGTATTATATAGAAAATGAAGTAACACGGGCATGAACTGTCGTAATTGTTGAGGTTTATTTCTCTGCTGCTTGTGTTTACGCGGATAAAAATGGACCGTTAGAGAACAAAAGCTGAAGCAGCCAATGAGCAAACGGCTTGTTTCGGTGTCTGGTGGGGCGTTACAAATATCCAGGAAATTATTATTCCTTCGTTTATTTCTCACATTTCTTATTCAAGCTGGGGGTACGCGGTCCCTTGTAAACGTGTCCCGCAACTCTTAGGTAAGACGTTTGGTTAAAATACGAGTGCGTATGAAATGATAGTTTGCAGGGTAACATCAGAGGTCGTTTGTCAACACTCTCCTCGGAGGGGGGCCCGCCCGTCACTCCGATAACACAATGTTAGGGGTCCTTGAGGTGGGGAGCGAATATGTAAATGCCCCTGTCCTGGCAGTTAACAATTTAGATTAGCAGCAGAGTTAAGTTAGCTTAATTTCACATTTAAGGCCACTGAGGCCTTTATTGTGTTGAATGCATTGTTTATAACGAATAGCAGTTTTGTGTTTCGCATTAGCACGAGAAATCTCTTAGCATCTTTTTATGTGTGGTTATGCATATGTATGACTACAGTCTCCTTTTACAGTCAGCTTTGCTGCACTGTGTTGCACTTACATACCAAACCATTTGTGCAACCTCTTGACTAACGTGCTCCTGTGAAATCTGAATAAAAAACCAAGTAGTCAGCAGCTATACATGTTCAGTCCCAGCTCTGATGACATTCCTCTTCTCTCCAGGAGGGATTCCTTGTAGACCTGCAGACACATTAATGACGAAAAAGCCTAGCACTATGCTCCGTCCCAGACGTGGCAGGCAGGCCAGTGCCAGTGGTGACGGTGTACCTCCATCCAACATCCCAACAAACTCTGAAACGTTACAGGAGTCAGCCCCACAAATGAGACATCTGATCATGTCACAGCATAGTAACAACCTCCTCAATTTCTTGAATGAGGACCGGAGCCGGCAGAAGTTCTGCGATGTGTTTGTGTCTGTAGGTGGGAAGACCTACAGTGCTCACAAGGTGGTTTTGGCCCATGGGAGCAGCTATTTCCATGCTGAGCTGTCCAAGAATCCTTCTGCTAAAACTCATGTGACTCTGGAGCACGTGGAGGACTCTGTTTTCCAGCACCTGCTCAGCTTCTTGTACACCGCTGAGTGTGTTGTTGCAGAGACAGCACTCCCAGCTCTAACTGAAGCGGCCCGATTCCTGGACATGATGGATATATTAAAGCTGTTATGTAAAGACGGTGAAGTACAACCTGTAAGTGTAATACAAACCCAGGTTGAGACAATAGCTTCTCATAAAGTGGAAACTACCTCCAATAACTCGCCAGGAGCTGATACAGAGATCAACAGTCCAGCTGATGTTCAAGGAAACCTGTTCGGTCATGATAACTCCAATCAGGGTCAATTGGCTGAGAGTGTACACACTGATGTACATCAGGAGGCCTCAAATGAGGAAGAAAAGACGACAGGTCAGGGAAGTGCTACCACACGGAGATCAGCTCGTAGGAGGAGAACACCTACTAAGTATAAAAGAAATGATGGTGAGTACAGTAGCAGTGCTCCCAAGGAAAAACAAAGCACTGCATCATCAAGGCAGCACAACAAAAACAGACTGGAAGGAAAAGGGGAAGTGAATGTGACAGCCAAGCTGGATGTGAATAAGGCATCTAAACCAGTTCAGGGTGACGATGTAATGGATATGGAAGAGGAGGAGGAAGAGAGAGGAGACGCAAATGCCGCTATTATTGCTGAGACAGCTGATGAGGCAGAGAGCCGTGCAGATCTGCAGAATTCAGATCTACAGAGGACAGAGCAGCAGGCTGCTGACAGGGTGGAGATGCATGTTGGAGCAGCAGCAGGAAGCTCTAACCAGAGTCCAGTGTATCCTGAAGGTCTGGCTCCAGTCATCATACAGAACTCCAGCAAGAAGATCCTCAAGTGCCCCAAATGTGAAAAGACGTTTGACCGTGCAGGTGGGAACCACGGAATAAGATCTAGATTATTAGTGTTATTCTTATCTTACAGGGTTAACAGATAAGACCAGAGATAATTATTTTTTGTAATGTCATTCAGTGTTTGGTCGGCACACACATATAATAGCTATAAATGCTCATCATGAATTACCACAGCCTAAGATTTGAGGGTCATTCCATAGAAGATCAGTCAAAATTGATTTTGTAAAACTTTTTGTTTATTTATCAGCGCTTTGTAACCCCAAACGTTAATAGAGATGAGTTGTAGTTTGCACTTTTTAAATTTTATTGCAGCATTTCACCCCCCATAATTTCATGGGTAAAATAAATATATATATATATACATACATACATACATACATACATACATACATACATACATACACCATTAACACGGCTAACCTGTTAGACAGTAAAACAAGTTATGTCATACGAAGGGTCTTCTTTTTTGTCTACATTTTCATACGAGTCTCATCTCCTGGCCATGGTTCCTTCTGTTTCATAATATTTATAATACAGTAAGTTTGTAATGTTCAGCAAGTGTTTAATATTAGATTCTGTTTAACCAAGGAAAGCAGGATTTGTGATAACACAACTAGTGTGGAAGACTATTCAACTGATTTAACCCCTTACTGATTTCCTGTTTTTTGGTATGTTTGTCACACTTAAATGTTTCAGATCATTAAACAAATGTAAATATTAGACAAAGATAACACAAGTAAATACAAGAGTTTCTAAATGAAGGTGCTTATTATTAAGGGGAAAAAATCCAAACTTACATGGCCATTGTTTATAAATAGATTTTTTTGTGGCCTCTAAACTGTCTTTAGAGAGTGCCTCTAAAAGGCATTGCTGTGTTTGTATTGTAAGTGTAAAGGGTTTTTTTCTTGTAGAGGTACGTCTGTAGTGTGTGTTTATCTTATGACCCAGATGTGTTCCTAATACAGTATAAATCATATTTCCAGGGAAATATGAGAGCCACACTCGAGTGCACACAGGCGAGAAACCTTTCCAGTGTGACATCTGTCTGCAGCGTTACTCCACCAAGTCTAACCTGACTGTACACAAGAAGAAGCACGCCAGCGACGTCCCGTTCCAGAAAAAGGAGCACAAATGTCCCTTCTGCAACAAACTCCATGCCAGCAAGAAAACCCTGGCCAAGCACGTCAGGAGGTGAGAGATGGCCATTTTACTTTGGTATTGTAATAAATTCACATAATGTTCATGGGATGATTGATGCCAGGGTAAGAAAATGGATGTAAATGTGCAAGTATAGTATGTTTGGACCACTCCCTGTCGCTCTGGTTGCAAATCATTACCAGCTCAAGATATCAGCATACATGTGTGGGAGGTATTTAGGCTTTGCTTTTTACAAAAAAGAGAAGCTATAACACTGCATCCATGTACATACAGTGTATATGGTGTGTGCAGTGCAGTGAATGATAATTCATATACACTAATAGTTAAAAATAAATCCAGAAAGATCAGCCTCGTGGTGAAGAGTCTGAGATTGGCAGTCTATCATTTTACATGTTCAGTTTCCGTGTTATTGGATTTAATATACAATTAAAATGATTGAAGCAGTGTCACCAGCACTATAGCGCTCATATTTGTAAAACTCTGGCTCTACTTAAATTCTAGTTAAGATATTATACAATACAATACAATTTGATTTATATAGCACATTTAAAAAACCACAGGTATGCCAAAGTGCTTCACAGAATGAGTTAAGAGCAATAATAAATACAAATATGAAAATACAAATAAAATATACTAACAGGCGGGTGACATAACTAACCAATAATACACCAGGCATAGTAGGCACCAGTGAAGTCTGCACACAATGCTGAAGGTTAAAACATTATAAACATTAACAAAGTGATAAAGATAAGTTCCAGTACACTAAAAATGTGGGCTCTAGGAGGCGGGGAAAGCAAGACTAAACAAATAAGTTTTTAATCGAGATTTAAAAGATTGAATTGAATCAGACGCCCGAATAGCTAGGGGGAGGTTATTCCAGAGGTAGAGTGCGACAGTGGCGAATGCGCGGTCACCTCTGGTCTTGAGCCGAGATCTAGGTCGCACCAGGAGCATTTGGCCTGCTGATCTAAGCGCTCTCCCAGGGATATAAAAGCTGAGGAGATCCGTAAGATAGCTGGGCGCGGTGTTACTTATGATTTTAAAAGTGAGCAATAAGATTTTAAAATCAATACGAAATTTAATAGGGAGCCAGTGCAGGTCGGATATTATAGTTAAGTCATTTGTGCAGCACAAACATCACACAACACCAACATCAGCTGAGCTGCTGCTGTGCTGTTGCGCTGTGTAATGAAGTATGTTCTCTTTCCTGTCAGGTTTCATCCAGACCACATCCAAGAGTTTCTTACCAAAAGGAAGAGGAAGAGTGAAAGCTGGAAATGTGCTGTGAGGACTGGTTTCAGTTTTGAAGAAATATTTATGTTATTGACAGTGATGTTAGCAAATGTATTTCTCCTGATGAGCCCACATCCATTTTTTATAATGTATTTCCAAGACTCAGTCAATCAAACAATCAGTTATTATCAAATTAAATACTTTTTAAGAACTTTATCTTTTTAACTGATAGTCTGTGGAATCAACAATAATATTAGTTCAATTCAATTTATTTGATACAGCACCAAATCACAACAACAGTCGCCTCAAGGTGCAAGAACCTACAATAACACATACAGAGAAAAACCCAACAATCATATGACCCCCTATGAGCAAGCACTTTGGCGACAGCGGGAAGGAAAAACTCCCTTTTAACAGGAAGAAACCTCCGGCAGAACCAGGCTCAGAGAAGGGCGGGGCCATCTGCTGTGACTGGTTGGGGTGAGAGAAGGAAGACAAGATAAAGACATGCTGTGGAAGAGAGACAGAGGTTAATAACAAGTATGATTCAGTGGAGAGAGGTCTGTTAATGCATAGTAAGTGAGAAAGGTGGCTGAAGAAGCAGCTGCATCATGGGAATCCCCGGCAGCCTACACCTATTGCAGAATAACTAAGGGAGGATTCAGGGTCACCTGGTCCAGCCCTAACTATATGCTTTAGCAGAAAGGAAAGTTTTAAGCCTAATCTTAAAAGTAGAGATATTGTCTGTCTCCCGAGTCCAAACTGGAAGCTGGTTCCACAGAAGAGGGGCCTGAAAACTGAAGGTTCTCCCTCCCATTATCAAATGAGTTAATTTTTCATTCTGCAGTCTGCAGCTGATGTGGTAAGATACTGATCAGACCAGAACGCACAACCCACTTGCAAACTCTTTGAACACGTTTTCCTTTCTCGTCTCTGTCATGCATTCATGCATGCAAATGTCAATAAAGTTACAGTACTTATTTTCAAGCCTTCTGCTAGGCCTACGGAGGAGGAGTGAGGATCAACAAAGATGATTTGTTTTTTAATTCATACATTTTTTTATGTGGCATGTCATTTCAAATGCAGCTTTTCAGACAGCTCAACAGGTGTCACCAAACACAAAGTGTCTGTGCCGTTTGCCACACAGTCTCTCTTGTTTGCTGCTCCAACAGTTGTTGTGTTTGAAGAGAAAAAAGTTAGTGTGTGATCGTTTTAATCTGAGAAATGGAGAAAGATGTAAGAAGGAGAGGAGAGGAAGGTGACAGATTATTTTCAAAGACAAGGACTGTTCAGCAAGTAACATTTGTTAAAATGGAAATTTACATGTTACACAACTTATTGTGAAATGTCTTTTATAAGAGACTAAATGATAATAATTTATTGCTCAGAGTTTATACAGGATGGCAGCTGTAGGCTAAACTGGATAGTTTGTGGTCTTGTGGTAAAGTTATAATAATGGATTAAGCTCATTGATCAATGTTTTCCTGTGTCAATATTTAAAGAAACTCTTTATATTAGTATATCTGTGAAATAACCAGTGTTTACACCCATGACTTTTATATGGGCTGTAATGATGAATTAATCCTACCTGTAACCTTTGAACTCTCTGTATCAGATCTGTTTCAAGACCTTCACTCGCAAACCTCATCTGGAGGAGCACATGATCCTGCACAGCCAAGACCGGCCTTTTAAATGCTCCTTCTGTGATGAATACTTTAAATCCAGGTTTGCCAGGCTGAAACACCAAGAGAAGTTCCACTTAGGTGAGAACTATTTGTTTCACTTATATATTTAAATGTATTTTTGAATCTCAGATAAGTATTTAAATAGAGAATATTCAGGAGATAAAGTTTTTGTTTTTCATGTTTTCAGACTATATTAAATCCAAACCTTTAACGTTTTTCTCCAGGTGCTTCAACTTCGTCTCATAGTCCAAAGACATGCAGACGGGTTAGTTTAGGTTAAGTTAGTGATTCTAAATTGACTGTATTTGTTCATGTGAGAGTGAATGGTTATCTGAATGTGCCAGGGTGTACTTCTGTAACCCATATTGAAGTAGCAATTGATCTACTCGATTTCGTCCTGCCTCATTTTCAGGTCCTTTCCCCTGTGAGATCTGTGGTCGTCAGTTTAATGACACCGGCAACAGGAAGAGGCACATCGAGTGCACACATGGAGGCAAAAGAAAGTGGACCTGCTTGGTTTGTGGGAAATCAGTAAGAGAAAGGTACACCTGTCTGTGCCTGTTACATTTCCCACATGGCCCGTTTTTATGTGGGAGTGCACTATGTTATACGGCAATGATTATTTATTTAAAAAAAATAGTCATAGATGATCATATTTGAGTTTCCACATCACAGGACAACCCTAAAGGAGCACTTGAGGATCCACAGTGGAGAGAAACCTCACCTCTGTAGTATTTGTGGCCAAAGTTTCCGTCACGGCAGCTCCTACAGGTGGGTCCTGTGAGATTTGGAGACGCCGTTTGGTGTTGGTGATCACAAAAGTTTCAAACTTTCTACTATGAAATTTCCCACTTGTGGGACTAATAAAGGTATCTTATGACCTTATGAACATAACTTCATAGTAGACTTGTCTTTAATGAGAAAACTGTTCCTTGGACAGGCTTCACCTCAGAGTCCACCATGATGACAAGCGATATGAGTGTGATGTTTGTGGGAAAACCTTCATACGCCACGATCACCTGACCAAACATCAGAAAATACACTCTGGTGAGCATGGAAGGGACGGCAGCGCTATTCTCTAGTTTTACTTGTTACTTTTGTGGCTTTTTCTCCGCACAGAGTCACATGGTACAGCGTAAAACACTTAAAACAGTATTTTAACTGTGCCCATTTCTATTACAGGTGAGAAAGCACACCAGTGTGAGGAGTGTGGCAAGTGCTTCAGACGCCATGATCACCTGACAGTCCACTACAGAAGTGTTCATCTGGGAGAGAAAGTCTGGCAGAAGTATGTTATACAAACCACGGGCTGGTTCTCTAGTGTAGTTGTGTTGTTGTTGTCACTTGCTTCTCTCTGCATCTCCTTTCCAGAGTAGCCTGGAGGTTTGGTAAACGTTCTCTTTGTGTGTTAATGACAGATTTTTTTTCCTCTCAGGTATAAAACTGCTGTGCATCAGTGTGAGGTCTGCAAGAAAGAATTTAAAGGAAAGTCAAGTCTAGAAATGCACTTCAGGACTCATTCAGGTAAGGAAGCAAATGAATTAGTGGAAAGTCTACATTTGCTTGAAAATACTTCCTGTATGAGAACAGAAAAGAAGTGGATCTTTAATGAGTGTTTTTAGGCTTGTTTTATTCTTTTTTTTATAAACTCTGAATCCTTTAAACATGAGCAGCTTCAACTGGAGATTATATTCTGTTTTGGATGTAGACACAGATATCTGGATGAGTAGTCATTCTTGTTCTTTGAATCTCACTTTAAGCCCCGTGGATGTGTCTGTAAGCTCCGCGCTCACCGTCTCATGATAAAACTTAAGTCACTTTGACACAAACAGATCTGAGCAGACTCCTGGATGCAGAAACTATAACAAGACCACTAACTGCTGCTGACAGCTGTGCATTCGTTGTTTAACAGTTTCATTTGTATGAGCTGTGTCGAGTAGACAACATTTAGAAGAACCATGAAATAAAGACTTTTTGGGTTTGGAGAAGTGATAACAAAAGACGCCTCTACAAACAGTCGGGGGGTCTTGAAAGCCTGACAGTCAGTGTTCTGATGCAGGGTCCATCAGGACAGAAGATGATTATTATTAAATTAAAGGTGCCGTAGACGTGAATGTCTGTCTTTCTGTGTTATGTGTAACAGGTGAGAAACCGCACAGATGTCCCGAGTGCCATCAGACATTTCGGATCAAGAAGACTTTGACGAAGCACATGGTGATTCACTCAGACGTCCGTCCCTTTAACTGTCCCCACTGCAGCGCCACTTTTAAAAGAAAAGACAAGCTCAAGTACCACGTCGACCACGTGCACAGCACGCGCTTTGCCGAGCAGCCCCTCAGCTCGATCGGTGAAGAAAAAATAGTGTCGGTTACTTTTGAGGAAAGCTCAAAGACGTACCATGCCGAGCCCAAGTCGAGCCACCAAACCAGCCCCGCTCCTACAAACGTGTGCGTTCCCGTCACTTTAGTTCCCATCCAGATGGCTGGAGGAGCGCAGGGCGACTTGACCATTCACAGGCCTCCACCTCACTCCTCACAGACTCACACAGTCATTAGCTTGCAGACTCAAGGACAGCAGCAAAACTCTGGCTACCAGGCTACGGACATGGCCTTCTTAGAGAAGTACACCCTCACACCTCAACCGGGCAACATCGTCCACCCCGTGAGGTCGGATCAGATGCTGGACCACCGAGAGCAGTCCTACCTGGGAACGCTGCTTGGACTCGATTCATCTTCCTCTGTGCAGAACTTGGCCACCTCTGATCATGCCCACTGACGCTCCTTGGCAAAAAACTGGAGCTTAAAGGCAAAGCGCAACAAACTTGGCACAGAAATCATGTAGGGAGAACCAAAGACGTAGTCACCTCTGCAGTGTGTTTGTATTTTAACATGGCGGTGACTCGCAGTCAGACTCACGTGCCATCTAAACTTAGGACAAAAAAAATAAATCCAACCAGATTTTGATGGATTTGTGTGACATGTTTAAGATTAAAAACCTGTAAATTGAATTTAAACTTAAAAAAAGACATTCTGGTAATAATGAAACATTTTTAAACATTACTTTAGCAAGTCCAAGTCTAGGCAGGATTTTTTGCTGTCACTGAAGTGTTTACCGTTTCATATCAGAGTTTTTATTAGCACGGTCACTGTCATTTTTAACGGATTCATTTTAAAATGAATGATGAGATTTTTGATAGACAAATCATGTAATTATTTTTAGTACAAACAGTTTGCCGGTTCTAACTTCTAATAATTAATGCTGGTTCACCAAATACATAATAAACTTCTAATAAAAATAATAATCGCTGGTGGTTAGAGGAATTCTAAACTGTGACTGCAGTATACATGTGTGCAATTTGTCAAAAACAAGCACAATGATTTCTTTTTAAAAACTTGATGTAGTTTTATGATTTAGAGTAATGTAGGTGAAAGGGAGAGCTTTCAGCCACTTGTGAGCTTGAACAGCTGTAGGTGTGAATAACCTTTGTTGTTTAGCTTTAGTTACACATCTGGTTTTAAGTTGAGATGTTTCATGAACAAATTTCAAGCTTGTTAAATAAAGTAAAACAAGTGTACAATGAATAACATATAATGACTCTTTATTTGAGGGCAATAATTAGGCATACACTGCATTTCTTTTACAGATGAAGACTCACCAACAGACAAGTCTTTTTAAAGATAAGTTTTCAGTTAATATCTCTTTGGAAATCACCTGGTTGGTGCAAATATACCCCTGACCTCCTTCAGTTCCTCGGATGTCCGTAAACATCTGGGAACCTGAGGAGACCAGCAGCTGGAACCTCTGGGAGATTTGTCTGATATAAGATTCTAGCTGTGTTGCGTCTTTGTCTTTGGTTTTGTCTCAAATATTTCCCTTCAGTTAAACTGCAGGCAAATTCAGCACCCAGACTCCTGCACTACAAAGTGATGCTGTAAAGATGGTGCAGGATGCAGTTTAGTGTTGTCCTGTTGAAATATGCAAGGCCTTCCTTGCATATTTAAAAAGCGCTATACAAATACAGGCCATTTACCATTTACCTTCCCAGAAAAAGACCTATTCTGGGTGGGAGCATAAACCGCACTAAAACCTGTACATATGCAATGTTTTTGTGTTTTCAATGCTGTACAGTCATGTGAAAAAAAGAGTCTTCAGAGCACTATGTGGTTCTGTGAAGTACATCTATCAAAGCAGAGGTTTTGGCTTTTTGCAGGTCTAGAGCATTCAGGTGTGTGTTAACAGGAAGGCAACAGCGTGGTTTTTATAACATTACCGTAGGTGAATGTTGAAAAAGATTCACTGCATATGAGTGTAATGAAATGTGCAATAATCTTAATAATACACTTGTTTTGATATTTGGGAAATAATTGTGTTTTTAAACAGTAAAGAAAAGAAGAAGAAGGATTACTTCTTCTCATTTCTTTACTGTTTCCTATAACTTTGGTCACAATTTGAGAACTGATTGATTTTAAATCGATGCTCTTCAGATATAAACACTAAAAACAAGAACAGTAAAGAGCAGCAGGAGTCTTTATGAGGAGGAGACTTTATTCAGTTCAGCTGTGTTTTTGTTTCATATATGGGCACACAAACCATTTTCTCTCACACTCTCAAAGATGAAAATGATGATGTGATCATATGTCAGGCGTGTCCTCTAAAAGCTCCAGGGTGCTGAGGAAATCCTCAGCTACAGCTGTGCTTTGCACCTCTGGTTAGAAGAAAATATGTTTTATGAATAAATTACGAGTGTAAAAAAATCAAGTTGTGATTCTGCATTTAAGCATCTTTAAATGACAGATCAGAGCAATAACAGCATTTCTTTTAAAGAGGAACACTCACCACTGCATGTTCCACCCAGTTACAACCTGTAAACAGTGATGCAGAAGCTCAGTGTGAACACTTCAGTTACTTAACATTTGCAGATGAGGTGTGTTCAGTTTTCTACATGTCTACAAGCTGCTGACAGTTTTTATCAGGTTTAATATTTTGTTTAATCGACTTTACTGGGATACTATTTAAATCACTGCATGAGGCAGAAGTTTCTATAGAAGTGGATATGGTTGTTTACTAAATAGTCACCTGTGTTTACACGAGGCACAAAGTAAACAACATATTTATCAGCCTCATTAAAGGTGATCACACAGTAAACTCTGTTTAAAGCCTTTCTGCATATGTTAAAACCTTAAAGAGGAATTATAGATTTGATCAACTGGTCCCTAAATGCAATTCACACTCTCCTTTCAATGAGAAGCCTGGGCTCGGGTGAGCCCGAGTGTCCTGGAGGGACGTTCCCCGCCGGATACACGATGGATGGGTGGAGGAACTAGAGGGTCGTGTGCCTGGCGGGACTGTCGATTGAGGACATTGAAGACATCTACCTTTTCGGAAGCATGATAACGGGGTTCTTGCTGATCGGAGCTGGCTTGGCCCTAGCTTATCGGAAATTGAAGAAAGCGGAAATGGCTGATCAAAACCCCACAAGGCTGCCCGCTGTGATTGAAACCGTGGCACAAGTTGTGACTTCTCAAAATGTGCTCATCAAACGCAGCATGGATAAGATCAAGAGAAGCTTGATGCTGTTGTGGGCACTTAGAGTCTACAGCCTACCACACCATCTTCAGATATAGCTGCACACATAGAGATGTTTCCCCCACGTTGTCCAGGGACTTGGATGGTAGCCCTTTGTCCAATAAGGTTACGTCCTCTGCGTCTAGTTTTTGCCAGATTGAAACCGGCCGCATCAACAAAAATATACTTGTGATGATTCACAGCAGCGTCCAGCTCCATCACCCACTAAAATCATAATTTAGTTAGTTTTTTTAGCCGCATGTCATTCCTTGCCCTGACCATTTCCACCACAGCCAACTCCTGCTGGTCAGTCAAAACACGTGGGCGACCACCACCAGGTTGTCTCCTGTTAATTCTGAGAACAATCATATACTGTGAATATTGAAGTATTACAAATTACATTACTGTAAACTGACAATTACATGTTGTTCATCTATACAATAGAGTACTATATTTTAGAAGTGAAGTTGCTATAGCAGACATATCGGTTTTCTTGGTGAAAAGTTCTGATGATCGAGCTGACAGTTGACCTTTGTAAATTAGGCTGTACCAACCTGGCAGCCTCAGCCATGGTAAAGCCTCTGTTAACCACATGGTCAACAATGATGGCCCGGACTTCATTAGAGATGATGGTGCGTTGTCTTCTGCCTACATTTCTCTGAAGACCACCTCTCTGTCGAGGAGCACCACCACCTCTTCGATGAAGGTTTCCTCTCCCTACGAGTCTATCCTGCTCCATATTTGAACAGTGCAAAGTCTCAAACACAGTTCTACTTATATGGTAACTAATTGTGATCATCAAGGGGAAACAATTAGCAATTATAGTGTTTCTAGATTGAAAGCTCTTGCAGCAATGTGTAACTTATGTGTAACTTACAAATGACCAGACAACAATCAGTCAAGTTGAAAATCCATGGACATAATGAAGAATTCATTGATTAAACATTAAGATCAGTTGAATTAAATGACAGACAAATGTATTAAACTGAATAATAAGAGATGCAAATCAAAAATTTTATAGTGATAACATTATGAAAGGCAGTAACTGTGAACGAAACATTTATTTAGATGAAACACTTATTTTGTGTAGTGAAAAGTATATTTTGTCATTATGTGTATTGTACTAACACAATTGAAAATATGCTGAAATGTTTGAAAAAGGAGCACTTTTGATGATCTGTTGTGATATAAGTACTAAGAGTTTTGAAAATGTACCAATTGCTTGTGAAAACTGCGCCAAACCAATAAAAAAAAACTGCAGCACAGGTTCTCGCCTGTGGAATACAACTTTTAAAAACAAAAACAAAAAAAACTATATACTAATAGGTTAGTTTACACTAATATATAATATGTATTGTTGCTGTCAAACAAATGTTTAATCAGATTCATCACAGGGTTACTGTGGATTCATTTTGATTAATCACGATTAAATATCATTCAATGCATCATTCATGCAGTTTCTTGCAATCCACTTGGCAATTGTGTCAGTCAATATTTCCGGGGTAGACTCACTGAGTCCCCGATGCTCCGTGAGTGGTTTGTTGCAAGCTGGGTGACACGTAAGTCCTAGCAGCATCCCCGGCTAACGTATGCTTTGCGTCAATGTGATATTTTAAGCTGGAGGTGCTTTAGTGAAAAGAAAATTCCTTCTTGCACAATGTGCATAATAATACTTTACGTTGGTCGACTGTTCCGTCTTGTTATTTTTTTAATACTCAAATTTCCCATCGAGAGGGCCAATGTGTGTTCATCATTTTCCATATTGAGTTGATTGGTTCAGCTGCCCGTCACTACTAGATCAACTGCCCATTTGCGCATGTGCGAAGGTAACTCTGTTTGGACAAACTGCCCGAAAGGCGTTGACAGAAACATTTCAGGAATTTTGAGTCATTCTGCACTCCAGATGCGTTAATTTTGACAGGACTAAAATAAAGACAAATGAATGCACAAAGACTCATATTTTTTTTACTCCTGTTGTCTCATTTACTGTGAATATTTAGTCCTTCTGACCGTGAGACGCAGTCATTGTCAAGAAAACACTTCAGTATTTCACTTTTATATGGCAGAAAAAGTCCATGTTTATTCATTTGATCCTGAATTTCTCAGAAAATGTTTTGGATAAATTCTATGAGGTTGTTTACAGATCCCAGATTTCAAAGAGACTTCCCGGATTGCTGTAATCAGAGGTCACCATTACGAAACATCAAACATGTAGAAGCACAGGTTTTCTGGTTAATGTGTGTTTGATTTAAAATCAGAGTTTCTCTGATTGTCAGCTAGATCTCTACAAGCTCTGTGTTTTTGTTAAGAAACAGATATCAGGGAAAATGAGGGAAAATATAAGAAAGCACAGTTAGATTCTCCTTTACTTGAGTTTACAGCATCCCAACAGGTTTGGCGTGGCTGCCTAGCAACTAAAAATGTTTCCAGGTGTATAGTAAGAACATTTGTTTTTACCAAATTCATATGAGGCGGAAGGATTTGGCAAAATCTGTGTTTTTCCCATTTTTCAGAAAGAAGACTTTAAGGTGCGCCAAACTGAACATTTATAAAATCATCATACCAGAGTAACTGGAACATGGCTGGAAATGTTCTCATCACAGGACAACCTTAAAGGAGCACTTGATGATTCAGGGTGGAGAGAAACCTGACCTCTGTGGTATCTGTGGCTGATGTTTCCATAATGACAGCTGCTACAGGTGAGTCCAGTGACTTTTGGAGAGGCTTGATGATGACAAAAGTTTCAAACTCTCAATTATTAATATGCCGTTTTTATAGCTATAGTTCTCTATATTGGCTTGGACAGGCTTCACCTCAGAGTCCACCATGATGACGAGCGGTATGAGTGTGATGTTTGTGGGAAAACCTTCATACGCCACGATCACCTGACCAAACATCAGAAAATACACTCTGGTGAGCATGGAAGGGACGGCAGTGCTATTCTCTAGTTTTACTTGTTACTTTCGTGGCTTTGCCTCCACACAGTCACATGGTACAGCGTTAAAACACTTAAAAACAGTATTTTAACTGTACCCATTTCTATTACAGGTGAGAAAGCACACCAGTGTGAGGAGTGTGGCAAGTGCATTAGATGCCATGATCACCTGACAGTCCACTACAGAAGTGTTCATCTGGGAGAGAAAGTCTGGCAGAAGTATGTTATACAAACCACGGGCTGGTTCTCTAGTGCAGTGGTGTTGTTGTTGTCACCGGCTTCTCTCTCTCCTTTCCAGAGTAGCCTGTAACTTTGGCAAGTGTTGTTTTCTTTTGTTGTCTGCATAAATAAATACTGCAGAAAGTTGCTGTGCATCAGTGTGAGGTCTGCATGAAAGAATTTAAAGGAAAGTCAAGTCTAGAAATGCACTTTAGGACTCACTCAGGTAAGGAAGCAAAGGAAATAGTGTAAAGTGTCGAACTGTCAGATATGTCTGGGCTCGTCTGGTTGTGCACGATGGGGAAGTAAACACATGGCATTGTTATGAAGCTTATGAATAAGTTGAATAAGGAAAATCTGTAATGAGTGATCTATCTGCTTTTGTGGGTGTTAGGCTGCTTTTTTTTAAATTTGTTGGTCATACATACACTGCATCTGGAAAGTATTCATAGTATTTCACGTGGATGTATAGATGTAGCGATACCGAATAACAGCAACATCAGGAAGAAGGAACACGAGAAGCTGGAGAAGTACCAAGGGCTCAGAGAAGAGCTTGAGAAGATGTGGAGGGTGAAGGTAACAGTTGCCCCAGTGGTAATCGGAGCACTAGGTGTGGTGGCTCCAGCAGATCCCAGGAACAACATCCGAGATCTTTGTCCAGAAGAGGGCAGTCCTAGAAACAGTTAAGACGCTGCGCAGGACCTTTAAGCTCCCAGGCCTCTGTTAGAAGACCCGAGCTTGAAGGATAGACCGCCCGCAGGGCGAGAGGTGAATTTTTTTATTTATATGCACATATACATATATATATATGTGTGTGTATATATATATATATATATATATATACACACACATATATATATATATACAGATATACATATATATATATATGTGTGTATATGTATGTATATATATATATATATACACACACACACACACACACACACACACACACACACACACACACACACACACACAGTACGATAAAATGTTTAAGAACCTTTTTTAAACATTCAGAAAGTGTTTTGATAATTGGGAAATTATTCAGTTTTTAACCCTTTAAGACCTACCATAGAACAAAGTCCGCCAGAGCTTATATTATATTTTTAAATGCTGTAGTGCAATTTTTGGGAGCATTTCAAGTTGCTATACATCAATACAACCATTATATATATTATATATATATATATAAAAACACCCAGCACGCCCCTGCGGGCGGTTTATCCTTTAAGCTCGGGTCCTCTACCAGAGGCCTGGGAGCTTGAGGGTCCTGCGCAGTATGTTGGCTGTTCCCAGGACTGCGCTCTTCTGGACATCTTCCACATCCTCTCGAGCTCTTCTCTGAGCCCTTGGCATTTCTCCAGCTTCTCGTGTTCCTTCTTCCTGATATTGCTGTCATTCGGAACAGCTACATCGATCACTACGGCCGTCTTCTTCTGTTTGTCTACCACCACTATGTCCGGTTGGTTAGCCACCACCATTTTGTCCGTCTGTATCTGGAAGTCCCACAGGATCTTAGCTCGGTCATTCTCCACCACCCTTGGGGGCATCTCCCATTTTGACCTCGGGACTTCCAGGTTATACTCGGCACAGATGTTCCTGTACACTATGCCGGCCACTTGGTTATGGCGTTCCATGTATGCCTTGCCTGCTAGCATCTTGCACCCTGCTGTTATGTGCTGGATTGTCTCTGGGGCATCTTTACACAGCCTGCACCTGGGGTCTTGCCTGGTGTGATAGACCCCAGCCTCTATGGAGCTTGTACTCAGAGCTTGTTCTAATAATAGAGAAATTTAAGAGGCTTATCCCTCAAAACTGTAAATACAAAAAAGTTGCTCAAAATAGTTTCCTCCCACAGGAAATTTATTTTGAGTGTCTTCATAGTTTTATTTTTGAAATACACCAATTTTTATATACTGCAGGAAAAACGAAAATAAATATTATACTGCAAATTTGCAAAAAAGCAGCATATGCATCAAAATAAACTATTTCCAGCAGTGCAATATGAGTCCTAAGCATCCCAGAAACGACACAGAAAGTCATAAAGTCAAAGATAACTTTTAAAAACACCAGTATAGACTCATGAGGCCCTGATGGTAAAAAACTACATTTCCGCGAAAATGACGTCACTTCCGGTTTCGGGCAGGTAATGGCGGACATGCAAAAGTTTGCACTGATGTCTATTCCAATGTAGGAAGTGTTACAAACAGCTGATCGGATCGGCAAAGCGTGTTTCTGGAATATTATGTTTTTGTTGCTGCAAGCGCTTTTTCTGCAGTTTTTGCAAAGCTATATGTGGAAGGAAACTGTGACCTAGGACAAGCTGATGGCATAAGATGTAAGCACAACTCCTCCGGTTTCATATGCAAAAAAAATTATTGCGCTAGCTTAAGTGGTTGCAGTGCTACCAGGATTTAAAAATAGTTACGCAAAACAGAGCGTGCCCGCTCCGACCGGCTTTAAAGGGTTAAAAACAGTAAAGAAATAAAAACAAAGTTATTATTTTTATGAGGCTTTTCCCGTAACTTTGGTCAGAACTGTTTGACAATTCGATAGTTTAAACATTCTTCACATTTGTAAAAAGTGATGAAGTTTTTCTCAAACGTTTTGCCATGATCTATAAATCAAAACTGCAAAAACAAACAAACGGCAAAAAGAAATGTGTGAGTTTGTAGGTGTATGACTGTCTGGAGGCTCCAGAAAAGAAAACCACATGTGAGAACTTTCAGCAACTTGTCACCCTGAAAAGGAACACCCTGAAATCAAGAGCAGCAGGAGTAATGATAGTAAATACTGAGACTTTATTCAGTTCACTGGTGTTTGTTTCATATATGAGCACACAAATCATTTTCTCTCACACTCTCCAAGATGACAATGAAGATGTGATGATGTGATCATATGTCAGGTGTCTCCTTTAAAAGCTCCAAGGTGGTGATCAAATCCTCAGCTACAGATGTGCTTTGCACCTCTGGTTAGAAGAAAATATATTTTGTGAATAAATTACAAGTGTAAAAACAAAAAACAAGAAAACACCCCCCCCCCCCCCAAAAAAAAACAAACAAACAAAAAACCAAGATGTGTTTCTTCATATGAAAGCTCTTTAAATGACAGATCAGAGCAATAACAGCATTTCTTTCAAAGAGGAACACTCACCACTGCATGCTCTGCCCAGTTACAACCTGTACACAGTGATGCAGAGGCTCAGTGTGAACACTTCAGTTACTTAACATTTGCAGATGAGGTGTGTTCAGTTTTCTACATGTCTACAAGTTTCTACAAAGTTTCTATGGAAGTGGATATGTTTGTTTACAAAATAGTCCCCTGGTTACATAAGCATGTATGAGTAAATATTTCTAAGCATAAATGACAATCCATTATATAAACCTGACAACAGCTAGGTTTAAATCAGTGCTCTTCAGATACTAAACAAATAAAACACACACACAAAGCAGGAGCAGTTTTGATGGTAAAATCTGAGACTTTATTCAGTTTGGTGGTGTTTGTGTCTCAAATAAGAGCACACAAACCATTTTCTCTTAAATTTTTGAAGATGAAAATGAAAAGCTAACACAGGCTGTGACGATACGATCATAAGTCAGGTTCCTCCTGTAAAAGCTCCAAAGTGGTGAGCAAATCCTCAGCTACAGGTTTAGTCACACAATCCCTGGTTAGAAGAACAGATGTTTTATGAATAAATGACAAATATAATTTTAAAATGTAAAAACAAAGGAGAAAATAACGAAAGTGTGAAAACTAAGTATAAAAGTCAAGATGTCATTCTTCAATTGAAACATCGTTAAATCAGAGCAATAACAGCATTTCTTTTAAAGAGGAACACTCACCGCTGCATGCTCTGCCCAGTTACAACCTGTAAACAGTGATGCAGAAGCTCAGTGTGAACACTTCAGTTACTTAACATTTGCAGATGAGGTGTGTTCAGTTTTCTACATGTCTACAAGCTGCTGGCAGTTTTTTATCAGGTTTGATAATTTGTTTAATCGACTTTACTGGGATACTGTTTAAATCACTGCATGAGGCAGAAGTTTCTATAGAAGTGGATATGGTTGTTTACTAAATAGTCCCGTGTGTTTACACGAGGCACAAAGTAAACAACATATTTATCAGCCTCATTAAAGGTGATCACACAGTAAACGCTGTTTAAAGCTTTCCTGTGTATGTTAAAGAAATACATATTCATCGGGTCTATAAGATCTATTGTGTATATCTGTTACTCATTTTAATAATTTCCACATCACAGGCATTAGTGCAGGGAAAGGGAAGCTGTCAGGGCGGCAGCATACACTACAAGGTGTGACAGGTGCCTGTGCAGTACTTCTGGTGACAAGTAATGAAGGCAACAACGAATCAGTGAATCAGCAGAGTTGCTGCAGTTTTTTTCTGTGTGTTTAAAGGAGTTTAAAGTTGTAAAAGCTTGGTTGGATATGACGACACACAGAGACATTAAGTGCTTTTAAAATGTAGTTGTTATTAAAACGATTCATGTTCAGTTGTTTTATTTATTTCAAAGTTTTCTTTCTTATAGGTAATAAAAACGTGTTAACATGTAGGCAACACAGCACTGAAAACTCTTTTCTGACTGACACGTTCAAACATAGAGTTTACAGTAATACTTACATTCAGTTGCCTCCACTCTTCCATTGATGCATCGAACCTTAGAATAATGTTCTAACGACCAGCTGTGTGGTTTCACACACTCCACTCTCTCTTCCTCACCATTTTCTATGTGCACAGTTCCCACAGATATGTATGCAGGATTGTCATTGGTGTTGACAGCACAGAAGTTAGCTGGACACAAGAAACAACCATTAAATTAAAATTTCTCCCCAACGCTTTAAGAGATCCTTAAAAATGATTATCATTGATGTGTTTATACCTCTGCACTCAGGTAAGTTTGACCACGTGCCACTGCTGATACACTTCACTCTTTCTGGACCCACTAATCTGTACAAACGTTGGCATCGGTATATCAAATAGTATCGTGAAGTTTGCTGAGCAACAGCATTTTCAATAACAGGGAAGTTTCCGCAACTTTGAACTGAAATGAAAACGCAGGAATATTTCTGAAAACATACCAAACTGTCGCTGAGGTAATGCACTTAACATTCTGATTGGTCAGCATGAATAAATTCAAGGAGAAAATAATGTACTTATTTACTTGTTGTATAACGAAGACGTGTGTCTCTCTCATTTGAAGATCCTGAAAGATACAAAACAGTTATTTTGCTTTGAGATTAGGCCAATTTGAACATTTTCTCTATTATTATTTTATAAAGTTTGTCAGTCATTTTTATGTTAACAAGGTATTCATGCTAGAGAACTTTTAACCCCCACTGAGACATAATGTAAATCATAACCTACCTCCATGTCCTGGCTGTATCACACTGCCGTCTCCTGTTTCTGTAACTGTTGATTCATTATGTTCACCACCTGGTCTGGTTTCAATCTCTGTCAGAGAGACAGAAAATACATCACATATTCTACACACACTACATATGCATCCAAGAACTTTTACTGCTCAAAAACACCCAGAAATAAAAGGATAAAGTCACTGTAATATGTATTAAATATCTGTTTTTTTTGTATTTTTGTATTTTATTAAATTTCACTATGAACAGCAGAAAAGACTGTAAACAGACACTGACAGTCCACTTCCTGTTTAAACGTGCATCATTTGTAGACTGTAAACTTCGATTGATTGCAGACTACTTATTATTTTTTATTTATTATATTTCTGACCACCTGATCATTCACTAAACATTCTCATTCATTTGTGCACTGATACAAGTGTCATGTAATCAGTTGTATTTAAACTTACTGTGGATTATTGCCAATTCATAAAAAGTAAATACATAAATGCAGATCTCAGTAAACAGTCAGCTTACTGCATGTTGGCACTGCTGTCCAGTTTCCCTGTATACAAACAGATTTCTCGGTGTGTGCAGTGTATCTGTCTTCACACTCATACTGCACTTCTGAACCTGCTGCAAACACTTCCTGGTATCCATGAATGATGACTGCATGGGGGATTTTAGGAGGTGCACTGCATGCACTCATACTTCCTGTAAAAATAAAAAGTCATGAATAGAAGCAGAAAAAAAGTGTTGAACAGCTAACTGGAGTCAAACATGTGGCAGACTTACTCTCACAGACTGGTGCAGAGGACCATTTTCCATTTCCACAGGTAGTGGTGTTGATCTGGTTTTGGTGCTCAAATCCTCCATCGCATGTTATCGTTAGTGTACTTCCATCCTCATACCAGCTGTTTGAGTTTTCAGGGTACTTTCCATTGGGAATAGTTGGTGGAAGGCAGCTGCTTTCATCTGTGGAAGAACAGACCAGAGTCACCATCAACACTTTGAGATTTCACAGAGTAACTTTTACATTCATAATTAAAACTTTCTGACTGCGAACAGCAACATGTCGCATTAAACGTTGTGAAGAGTTAATTCAAGGAATTACTGGAAGAAAGTTTTTTTTAATTGTTCCTTTAAATCTGAGGAAAACCAGACAAAAGTCACCATCAACAGTTTAACAATATTAACTGTTGGGGTTCAGGGTTAGTGTAAGTGTTCATAAAAGTCACGATCAATGACAAATTCCCATCTTAACCATGAAGACAAGCAACATGTATTTTCTTTTTAATTATAATTTATGTTTTATTGGTTTTCTTATTTATACAACATGAACAACAATACAACTTAATCACAGTGGAGGGGAAAAAAACAAAACAAAACAAATCAAAACAACAACAAAAAAAGAACAAACAGACCAAAACAAAACAAAAAACCTAACAAACACGTATTTTCTTGGAAGAAATGCAATTTTCTTTTATTCGTGGCAGAATGATTCTTGACAGGCTTGGACTTCTGTGATTTGTGGTATTTAACTTTAAAACTCCACAAACAGCAAAATGTGTCCCTGCATGAACGGTTAATTCAAAGAGAATTAGGAGTCCCAAACTCTGATTTGTATGTCCTGTACCTCATAATATTATTTTTTATTTAGTTTATAACTTTTTTAGAGTTAAAATGAAAGCTTCACCATCCTGACATAAGATTGAACATTGTCTTTATTTGCTGATCAGTCTGATTTTTAGCTTATTTCTTATGTTTTGAGACAACTGATTACACAATCTTTTAATAATATATATATATATATTTATTTAAGTTTTTAAGCACATTTACCATTCCCAGTATAGACATATATATGTAACACTTACCTATGCATTGTGGTTCATGAGACCATTGCCCATGTTCACAGGTACTGGTTGCCCACCAACCCTCCACTACAGGTTTATATCCGTTATCACAGGAATAAGTGATCATGGTTCTGTCAGAGTAAGTCTCTTGTTCGGGGATAAAATAACCATGAAGCCTGGGAGCGTCACAGCGCTGTGCTGAAATACAATAAAAACAAACAAACAAGCCCCATAAAAACGCACATTAGATATATAACCAACAACTTCAAATAAATAAATAAATGTCCTCACCGAGAAGCACTCCAGGAAATAAAATCAGGACAAATCCAAGAGACCTGAGACACATTTTGCAGGAATTAATTCACAAAGCAGAGCAGAGTAGAACCTTGTTCTTCTGAACCAGTTAATAATTAGTCATCAAAGCCTAAAAGTTGGGAAACAGTAAACAAACGGCTGAGTAATTCTGGTTGCTGTTGAAATCAATTCACAAATAGACACTGCGTGCACATTTTATAAATGTATAAAGCTTAAATTGGGGTCCTTACAAATGCACACAAAGTACGCAGACACACATTTTGTACACATAGTGAACGTTAAGAAAACACCGCTCAGTTGGAACTGCTTGTATTTATTTCTTTCCTCCTGCATTTGTCAGATAATGTTTTTGTACAAAAATCTATGAGGTTATTTACAGTCCAGATTTCAAACTGACTTCCCGGACAGCCGTAATCAGAGTTCAACATTGTGAAACATCAAACAGCAGCCACGTCAACGCACAGACGTTCAGCAAAGACTGAATCCTAAAGCCAGAAACAAAACAAGCAAAAAGGATGTTGACTGTGTTCAGTAATATTGTTATCATGATATTTGTTTTGCGGTGAAAGATTCAGTTCTTATTGATCCTTGCATGCTCTCTATATTTTCTTTTGAGGGACATGTGTTGGGTAGATTGAAGTAAAATTAAGTAAAAGGACAGCTGTTTAAAAAAACAAAATAGTAATGGATGAATTACATATGAGTTTTAGTTTCCTACTATTCTCACTCTATTGACAGCTGGCTGAGAGCTCGGAGCTTTCTCTGGATAAATGTGACATCTCAGGGGAATCACAGGACAGCAGTTTATATAAATTGTTAGATCCTGACACATCGCTATGCTGATGAATATAGGCTTTGTTACAGCGTCTTAAAACCTGTGCATCATTTTTATTAATTACTATTAGTTTGTTGTCAGCGTGCTCTGCAAGGCTGCCGGTGTTTATTAAATTCAGTATTACATATTAAAAGAATCCAACATTAATCTTGTGAAGTGTGTTTGAGTCTAATTCAGGGATGTCAAACTCATCTTACATTATGTGGCACTATAGCCCACTGATCTAAAGTGGGCTCGACCAGTGAAACTGTCCATCGGTGAAAATAAGTTTAGTTAAAAATCAAAGCACTGAGACGTCGTAAGAAAGAAAAACAAACGACTATTTGAACAGTACAACTAAGTTTTTCCACATAATAAAAAAATGCTGCTGTAATGAAATAAATATTTCAGTGATACTCTTTGAGCATAAATTGGAATAAATAAATGTGTAAAATGACCAAAGAAAATTGGCTGATTAAATTAGCTCGTTGCCCAGATTGTGCAGTAATTATAAAACAAGAACGTTTCTGTGAATTCAAAGAAATTGTCCTATTTCTATGGGCTCAAAATGTGGTCATAAATATTTTGTACTTGTAAAAAAGATTTGTATGTGTAAAAAAGATTTGTATGTGTAAAAAAGATTTGTGTGCGTAAAAAAGATTTGTATGTGTAAAAAGAATTTGTGTGTGCGTAAAAAAGATTTGTATGTGTAAAAAAGATTTGTGTGTGCGTAAAAAAGATTTGTATGTGTAAAAAAGATTTGTATGTGTAAAAAAGATTTGTGTGTGCGTAAAAAAGATTTGTATGTGTAAAAAGAATTTGTGTGTGCGTAAAAAAGATTTGTATGTGTAAAAAAGATTTGTGTGTGCGTAAAAAAGATTTGTATGTGTAAAAAAGATTTGTATGTGTAAAAAAGATTTGTGTGTGTAAAAAAGATTTGTGTGTGCGTAAAAAAGATTTGTATGTGTAAAACAGATTTGTGTGTGCGTAAAAAAGATTTGTATGTGTGTAAAAAAGATTTGTGTGTGTGTAAAAAAGATTTGTATGTGTAAAAAAGATTTGTGTGTGTAAAAAAGATTTGTGTGTGCGTAAAAAAGATTTGTGTGTGCGTAAAAAAGATTTGTATGTGTAAAACAGATTTGTGTGTGCGTAAAAAAGATTTGTATGTGTAAAAAAGATTTGTGTGTGGACTTAGAAAAAAACCCCCTGCAAGTTACAAGTACGGATTTTGACCCTATTTTTCTTCCTTTCATCTGATTGGTCAATGTCATGTCAATCACAAATGTAACAATCCAATCAGAGAACAGATGGGTTTGGCTGTCGAGGGGCGCTTTTTTTGAACTGCAGGTCTTTGAAGGGAATAAATGCCCTTTTACATGCCAACCCAGCGTTTTCCGGACCGCGGGGTGGGGGCGGGCAGTGTTTTGGAAATGACAGTCTTCATTACAAAGCTTTCTTCGTTATGAATTAGCATACATGTTTTTATTGAACATTTGAAGAACTAGCAAAAAAAACAAACTCTTGTAGAGGACATAAAGTCAGAGATAGAAAAGACAAGGAGCAGGTGCATCTAGTACAGGTAGATCTGCTGCAAAAACCCACAGAGCCCAGCAGCCAGCGTAACAAATTCTGGATCCTTTGCTTTTAGTTAGCAGTTAGCATTAGCAGCACATCCTGCGTCCGATGTGAAAGGACTTTTATGCTGCGCACTGTGACTCACAGCAATGGTCCTGGGTCAACCCTGACTTTGTGTTAAACTAATCCTAAAGTAATAATGGTATTTCTAACCACTGATATACCACAACTTTTTCCTTTCAACAGCTACTGAAAGTTAGGGGACCTAGCTGCTATCAGATATTTATATAGCGATCCTCCAGCTTCAAACTGTATCACCCTTCAAGGACCTGCAGTTCAAAAAAGCGCCCCTGTGACAGCCAAACCCATCTGTTCTCTGATTGGATTGTTACATTTGTGATTGACATGACATTGACCAATCAGATGAAAGGAAGAAAAATAGGGTCAAAATCCGTACTTGTAACTTGCAGGGTTTTTTTTTCTAAGTCCACACACAAATCTTTTTTACGCACACACAAATCTTTTTTACACATACAAATCTTTTTTACGCACACACAAATCTTTTTTACGCACACACAAATTCTTTTTACACATACAAATCTTTTTTACGCACACACAAATCTTTTTTACACATACAAATCTTTTTTACAAGTACAAAATATTTATGACCACATTTTGAGCCCATATATTTTCTGGGCCCACTAAAAAGTTTCTATATACTCAATATTGAAAATATTGAAAAGGCATGAATTTTCAAATTTTTCCTTTTTTAAAATTTATTACTTAATTACTTTGGTGGACTATGAATAGCCACAGATCTTTATCAGCTGCTTATGTCAGCAACCTGCTCTCTTCTGCCCCGGGTGATGATGTCATCAAGCTGCTCTCCTCTGCCGCTTACAGGTCCGCTTACTTAAGATACCTGGAGCATAATCTGGAATAAACTGGAACTAATGACCATAGTTTAACAAGTAGTTTTTATTTAATGAAATAAATACCTCAAGTGGAAATAGAATAACATTTTTAGACTGTTGCTTCTACATTCATAATGTTATAATCTTTAAATGTTAACTGTTTTTCTTTTTTTTTAATACCTTGAGCTGCAAGAAGATGGGATGAACAGCAAGTTCCACAGAAAGCCGTGCCTACCGCACACTCCAACTCACAATGAACGATGCTATGAAACACCCAACTGCTGATTCAGTCATAACTAAAGCAAGAAAACTGGTACATGCTGTAAGAGATGATCAAAAGGTGTTGCAAAACTCTGTTTTGGGATTGTACCACTCATTGGAACAGTACTTTTGACATGTTGTGACGACTGCTAGAAACCAGAGCTGAACTAAACCAACTGCTTGAGTAGCTGGGGACGGACACACACACAAGTGATTGGGCCCTTGAAGGAGACGTCTGGAGAAACGTCTTTTTAACAGATGAGACCAAAGTGGAGGTTTGGCCATAATGCACAGCAGTACCTTCAGCAAAAATCAAACACAGTCCAAATATTTCAACCCAAATGTAGAGCATGCTGGTTTAAGGGTGGTGATTTGGGCTTGTTCTGCAGCCACAAGAGAGAGGCACCTTGCAGTTGACGAACTCCTCTGTATGCCAAAGTTTTCTAGTGTCTGTCTGACAGCTAAAGCTTCTCCTAAGTTAGACCATGCAACAGGATAATGACCCCAAGCACAGCAGCAAATCTACAGAATGGAAGTCCAGACCTTAACCTGACTGAAATGCTGTGTATCAAGGATTGCTTGCAAATGTCAATGAATTGAAGCAGCTGAAGTTAGTGCTGCTAACTGCTGGATTTATAAACTACTCAGTCATAGAATGATTGCGACACTGAATTAAAACACTAAATGTGATTCAGATTTTTTTCTTTTGTATATGTTATTTTACATCCAGTGGTTAATTTATGCTAAGGAGTATATATTTTCATTATGGTTAACAAAATTTCGGTATAAAATCTGGATTTAGATACATGTAAGCCTCTTGTGCATTTTGTGCCTGGCGCTTGCAGTGATGTACTGTCACATAAGCCAATCCTAATTACACAATGAGTGTAGGGGTGGGCAATATAAACGATATACGATAGAAACAATATAAATTTGGCCAACGATAGAGATTTTGACTAGTGATGGGTTGGTCGCGAACGAAATGGCTCTTAGAGCCGGGTCCTTATCGCGAGCCATGGGTTTTTGTTTTTTTTTCTTTCTCTCACCCTCTCTCTCGCACTTTTTTCCCGCTTCACTCAGCATGAGCCTTGTGCTTTACGCTGGGAAGAGGGGGGAGGGGCGGTAGTTACACTCAATAGCACAGGAACAGAGCAGGAGGGAGAGACAGAGAAAGAGCCAGGGACAACAACGTCACATTAGAAAGGTATAGTAATCATCCACAACTATTTTCAGTTGCAGATGATAAAGGATTCAGAAAGTTTATTTATGCAGGTCCATATGACAGAGAATATGCATGTTCTTTTAGTTTTCATATTATAATTTATATTTAATTGTGTTGTGGTTTGCAGTGTTTTGTGTTGTTTCACTTTAAATTTGTAAAAGGAAAAAGCTGAAAATTTAAATAGTTCAAAGTTGAACTGGGAATAGTTGATTTTTGTATTATATGATTTATTTATTACATTTTATGTGGAGTGAATAAATAAAAGTATATTTACGGTGGCCCCTACAGACAAAGCACATACAAACTTCAAATCACGTATGAACTCTGAAGCACGTACAAACCCTGAAGCACGTACAAACTCCAAAACACGTACAAACTCCGAAGCACGTACAAACTGCAAAACACGTAAAAACTAAGAAGCACATAAAAACTCAAAACACGTACAAAAGACAACAGAAGTGCTCTAGGATGCTAGGGGCAGTGTTGAGCTTTTGTTACCTAGTGGCTACACAAGCCAGCAAGTACCAACGACCTGATTTGGTGTGTGGTAGTAACAGGTAAATGAACATTTCTTTTTAAAAATTATTTTGTTGTTTTGCTCGCAGCATTTTCTTTCCGATGAGTTCTAAATAAATTCATATCTCTCTTAATAGGCTTTTAGTGTATTTTGAATGCGCTGAGGTCATAGATAATTAGATAGAACATCGTAATGTGTGATGCTATAGAATCACGTCATGTTGACGGAGTAGCTTATTATTTGGCATTATTGCAGGCAAACCAGCATATGAAATATGAAACAGAAAAGAAAAGTATGTTTATTTCTTTTATTCAAGATCTGTTCACCTGTACTTAGCAAGTACATACACATGAAATGCAAACTATTTACATGGCAACGCACAGCTGGCAACCTGGCTGTATCTTGGTCATATGGTCAATGTACTCACAACATGGAGGCTTAAAAACGGCTAAATCTTGTACCCAACCGTTTGTGAACTAGATGTGTGTCTCCAGGGATTTATAATTCTGAAAATGATTCGCCGTGTATGCGCTGACTCCACAGACCGGGTAAGCGAAGATATCGGGATAGGACAACGGCGGTAGGCTGTCTGGGTTTCCACTCCACTGCCTTATTTCATATGGGTCCACATTACCGATGCACGCTATTTTTTCCAAGTACCATCTCTTGGCGTCTGGGCGCAATCGGTCGCGATACAGCCCTTTGTCTTTTGCGTTGATTTTAAGCAAGGTTCTGCCAGTCCCGCTTCCAACACAGTGTGTTTGTTTTGATTTGTGGCCTTCTGACATGGTGCCGCGATCCCACAATGCACTGCGGTGTGACGTCAACTCCAAAGCCCTATTGCGATAGCGCATGTTGATGATGTCCTCAAGCTGCGCCTGTTTTGGTCGAAAGCATGGCGGCGGCTAAAACTATTATCGTCTGCAAATTATGGTGACAGTCATAGCAAAGAGATGAAGCACTTTTGAAATATGGGGAAAGCCAAAAACTGCGCTTCCTCCACTTCCGTAACATTGATTCATTAATGTTGAAATCTCTCGCAGCTGTTCTGTTCCCATATTGTTGCAGTATATTAATTACTAACCTTGTATTGTGGATGAATAATCTCAGTTGTTCTCCTGACTGAAGTTTGGCCCCTGTATCCGGTTGTTCAGTCTGACGTCACTAGCCGTGTCTGGACCTAAACTCCGCTGCAGGTCCATATATCAAACGATCACTATAGCATTATTGAGAGTTGAAAAACTGTCTAAAGTCTTTCATCTTTAATAAAATGATCAGCGTTCTGCTCTACCAGGTGTAACAATTGAGTTTAACATCCAGGCATCCATGAAAATGGAATTTATGACATTTAACGGAGTTAGAAGTTAGCAGGGAGTTAGCTCGCTAGCTTCTATCTAAATACAATATAGCATGTCCTGACTGCAGGGTTTTGGAAACAAATTAAAACGTACAGCTCTGCTATCACTTCCAGCATAAATGAAGACAGAAAACGAAACAGCAGTGACGTTTGTAGGGTTACTGAAGTTGGGCTAGCTGGTATATAATGATGTGCTACGTGACCGCTAGCAACACAGCTATGTTAGCATAATATAAACAAGCTAACTTTTTTTCCACTCGATAAAAGTTAACGTGAGTGTTCTCGGTGGTCAGGAACAAATGTAATCGCATGGCAGGATGCTGTAAAGGGACCAAACTTCAGCCAGGAGAACAACTGAGATAATCCATCCACAATACGAGGTTAGTCATTCATATACTGCTGCATGGGCTGGGCTGTAGTTACATCCTAAGGGTTTAAAAACTGAACTTAAACAAATGATTAGCGGTAATAAAAGCCGAGGGAGGTCAACAGTGATCACTGACTGTTTTAGGAGCTTTTTGAGATTAAATAGAAGAAAATACATAACATTAACCATGTTAACAACACAAAAGCCATATTAAACGCAGACTACTTTAGGCCCGAAAGTAGGATTCGTCGTGTCATCACTGAACAACCGGATAGCATCCTGCTATGCGATTGCATTTGTCCCTGACCACCAGAATCCCTCACGTTAACTTTTATCGAGTGGAAAAAATGTTGGTGTTCATCCTCCAGCTTCACTGTGCTAATGTTATGCTAACATAGCTGTGTCGCTAGCAATCACGTAGCACAACATTATATACCAGGTAGTCCAACTTCAGTAACCCTGCAAACGCCACTGCTGTTTAGTTTTCTGTCTTCATTTATGTTGGAAGTGGTAGCAGAGCTGTACATTTTAATTCATTTCAAAAATTGTCTTCTTCTTTTTTGTGTGTGTGTTTTTCCATTTAACCATAAAGTAAACACAGACAGGGTCAACATAAGTATGAAAATAAATTAAAACACACGTGCGCCCCCCCCCCCCCAAAAAAAGAAAATTTGGTTACCAGTTCAGAGTTATAAACACACACAAAAGAATATCTTATTAATACAAATGTTATAAAGAAATAAAACAGCTCTCTGATTTTTCTTTGTATTTTTGTTTTGGTTTTGTTTGTCTTCTTGTTTTATTTAATTGCTTCTGGGATTTGGATTTAACAAGTAAAGTATTCATATTATGCACACAGACAAACACATGCAGCTATCACCCATTTCTTGTATTTATACTTAAGACAACTTATTCTTGAACGAATACATCGATCAGTCACATGTAAAATGTAGCCAATTGTGTTTATTGTTCCACCCCACCTCCCTAACCTGTCTGTTCAAAAGTGAACACAGGTTAGGGAGATGATGGAGGAAATTGTGGGGGTTGTAAAGAAAAGGGTAAAAGAAAGGTAGAAGGGGAAAAAAGAGGTAAAAAAGGGATAGAAAGGAGGGAATAGAGGAGAGAAAACCCCAACAATCCCCTCTGAGCAAGCACTTGGCGATAGTGAATAGGAAAAACTCCCTTTAAAAGGAAGAAACCTATGACAGAACCAGGCTCTAGAGGGAGCAGTCAACTGTCGGGACTGGTTGGGGGGTGAGGTTGAAAAAAGAGAGAGAGAGGGAGAAGGGGGGGGGGGGGGGGGGGGAGATGGGGAAGGTGTCAGGAGTTAAAGGGACGGAGATGGGAGAGAACAGAGGAGAGGTGAAAATTAAGATGGAACAGAGGTGGAGGAAGACGTGTTTTTTTCTTCAGTTCCATCCATTTACATATTGTCCTAAAATTGATGCCAGTGGGCTTATAAGTGGTTGGTGTTAAAAAAGCCCCAAATATAAATATGAATTTTAGGACACGATGTTGAGACCAAATTAGGTGAAAAGCCGAAGCAGCCAGTTCCACTTCTTCTTCTTCTTCTTAATTTGCGGTATCTCTGGCAGGCTCTTAACTTCGGTTTCGAGTTCAGCCACCTTGGCAGTAAGGATTTTCTGTTTATCTCGTAGCCTTTGCAAAGATTCCTGGACGCACAATGCAGTCCTCTTTTTCTTTCTTTTCTCGTCGTCGGGTGTCTTCTTCTTTCAGAGTCTCCTGCAGAGACATTGCAGTCGATGGTAGCGAGTCCTCTTTCTCTATCTTCTCCTGTCCTCCAGTGCCATTTTCTTTCAGAAGCTCGGATCTTTGCATTTTATTTGCATCGGCAGAATTTTGTTCTTTTTGCTTCTTTGTGACTTCAAGGTAGGAAGCTCTGGCTTCTTTCAGCTCTTGGTCAAGAGACTCTACCTTCAAATCATGAAGGGCCTTGTTGGAAAGCAGCTGGGATTTCAGGTCACTGATTTCTGTCTTGAGTGACTCCTTCTCCTGGCTATGTTTAATGGCCTGCTCTTTCAGCTGTTTCTGGAGCATCTCTATCTGCTCTCGTTGATTCCTACATTGGACCTCCAATTCAGCCTCCTTAGAGGACTTTAGGCCTACAGAGTCGGCGTGTGAAGTGCCTGCGGTTGGAGTGGCAGACTCCACACACTGCTCTGTGGTAGGGTGGCTGATTTGGTCCTGCAGGGATAGCATCACCTCATCCAGTTTCAATTGCTTGATTGTCATTTGTGAGAGCCTCTGTTTCACTCTTGTTATCGGGCTTATTTCTAGAAGCCTCTTCCAGCTGCTCTATGAGGTCTTTAATTGTTTCCTCATGATTTCTGTTGTTGTCGTACATTTGTGCATGAAGTTTGCTCTGCTGAAACTGGTGATAAGAGGCCCTCTTGTTAGCACCAACCATTTGCCAATAAATGTCGTTCTGATAGTTTTGGGAGGCTTGCAGTTGCTGTTTGAGAGCAGCAATCTCGTCCCATGGATTATACTGGACTGCGCCCTGATGGGGTCTAAATCTGGGATTGGACTGATGTTGGACTGATGTTGCCTGAGTAAACGGTCTTCTTGGCTCTTCAGCCACTCTTTGCTGTTTTTTTGCTTTCTTTGTTTTCTTGACCGTTTCTGTTTGAGCTTGTGCCACGGGAGATTTTTCAGTATTTGGTTTTCCGGGTTTTTCAAGCTCATTTTTTGGTCCTTGCAGGATTGTTGTTTTCATTGTTGCAATGACCATTTTCGTTTGTGCTTCTGCCATTGTCGATGGTTCAGCGTTTGTGTCTGCGTTTCTCTGCGTCTGCCTTATCTTAGTTTTAACAACCAGGTTGTTGTGTGTTTCTGCCATCCGAGATCCACTAAAGTTGGTTGAGTTTCTCTCCTATTTAAGGATTTTTCCAGTAGAATGTTCACTCTGACATCACGGGCTGTTCCTTTGAAGTGCCATGATTGGAGCAATTCAAAATAAAATGCCTACAAACCTACTGTAAAGGAAAGGCTTTTATTTTGTAGCATATACTGATTTAACACTATAAAAGCTACTGTACAGAAATTGCAGTAAAAAATAAAGCAAAAGCAAAATATAAGTTTAATAAATGGTTGTTAAAAACCCTAACTAAAGTAGAAGATGACTGTTTAATGGAAAAGTATTCAACATTCTAGAGATTCTCATGCATAATAATTTCTTTTATAATTTAAACTAGGGCAGGTAGAAAACTTTGATATTTAGTGAAAGATGTTAATGAACACTCTCCAATAAGAGTTACTGAATGACTTTAGGCAGTGAGATCATGGTGTTTGCCGAGGTGACAGAATGTCATCTATGTTTTGTTTTAAATTCAGTTTCATTGCTGAATCTAAGAAACAACAGACTTTAATAGAGGTTTACTAACTTTTACTTTTATATCTATTGTGGAAAAGCCTGTAATAATAATAATTCCAAGCATGCAAACTAGTATGCAAACTAAAATTCACAGGAGAGCTTATGAGACCACAAATACTGTTGAGATCCAGTTCAGAGACACAGGTTTTGCGGAGGTGAAGCCTAGAGGACAGGTGGCAGCTACAGATTTGCTCATCTGCTTTTTTCCTGAAAATTTTCCACATTATGACTAAACGAATACAAGTATGAGAATCAGGCACAGGCTGTGTTCTGAACGGTGTCTATTAAAAACTGTATTGAATTTATATGTATTACATTTTTAAAATTAGAATAACAAATTGTGGTACATGTACATGCACATGTGGTCTGTGCATGTACACACATGAAGAATTTGACATTGCAGCATCTATGAAAGTGTTCATTGTGTAGAACTCACAATCCAAACCTCTACTCGAAAACTGCCTAAAAGACTAGTTTCAATATTTAAACAGTCATTTGTAGATGTTCTAGGTATGTACAAACCCCCCAGCTCCACTCTTTTAGCAGACAAAGCAAAACAAAGACGTCTCTGATGATGAAACATTGAATTCAAACCTCAGCCAGCTGTCAACAATTTAGGGATTCAGTGTGCACATCATGTATTGAGTGCATTCAAAGTTCAAAACATTTATGGACAGTTTGGTGTTTAAAGAGCAATCAGCACTAAAACTGTACAAAGAAAAGAAACATGTTTCGTTGTTGCTCTGCAGATTCTGGTTGAAGTGTTTCAGAAAGGTCGTGTTGTCAGTTGGGTTCTCTGAATACTCTGCACACTTCCTGATTAAATTACAAATAAAACAATATTTTTCAAACTGCTGTGTAAATGTTACTTACAATTTAATATCCTTCTTTGAAATGTATATATTTGAAAAGTAAATCAAAGAATTACACTTACATAAAAAATGTCAGCTGTTGGACAACCTAAACATAATGAGACAAAAGCAACAAAGTGGGTTTGTCAGTTAGAAGCTCAGACCCAATAAACTTTATTAGTGAGGACGGATTTACTGCATTCAAAGATAAACCTGTGGAGGAAAATCCTCTCTGTTCTTAAAGAGCCAGACTGCTTTTATTCTTCATGTTTTACTTTTATTCCATATTATCATTTGCTGTCAAGACTGCTTGCAATCATAGACAATGACTCCCACTCCCTCCATAACACACTGCACAATCTGAAGAGCAGTTTCAGGAACAGATTTCTTCAAGTTCACTGTCTGAGGGGAACGTTACAGGAGGCCGTTCCTTCCTGCTGCTATCAGACTCTTTAATTCATCCACTTGGGTCAGATCCACACATGCAGAACAAACACACCTAACTGCACTCTGTTACTTTTGTACACCATAGCATATATTTGCACACATATTTTATATTTATATATATATTTATGTTTGTATTTATACCTATATCTCTATATTTATCTCAATATTTGTCTAATAATGTCTCTGACATGACATGAGTTTGGCTGTTGGAAGTTGGGAACGACTCTATAGGCAAACATCAGCTGCAGCCTTTCACAAATCAGCAATGTTAGGTTTCTATTTCATTATGTTCCTGTGTGGGAAATGTTTATTTACTGGTTTTCTCTTACTATTCTTCTTGAAATGATGTGTTAATTAGATCCTGGAGAATGAAGTTTTATGTATGTTAGCTGTTACAGGAAAAAAGAAACTGAAAGAAAAACAAGAGATCCTTTATATACTTACATGTGCTCAGAAATATTCTTCTATTAGTGCACCGAACATTGATATAATAGTCTTTTGTTGTACAAGGGAAAGGCTTCGTCTCTCCTTCCCGCATGTATTCAGGTGAAGTTTTTACAAGACCATAACGAGCATATCTAGCAGGATCCACCACACAGAACGCTTCTGCAAAAACAACAAGAAGTAAAAACCAAACATAAAAAGAATTTTAAGAACATTTTTAATAAACTTTTAGAGTGAAAATTATTTTTTTGATACCTTCACAGGTGGGCAGTTTGGACCAGTGAGCGTCACTGTAACAACTCACAGCCTCTGGACCAGCTAGTTTGTAATAACGATTGCACTGGTATTTCAAATGCATTGGACCTTCTTCCACAATTACAGCATTTTCAATGTATGGGCGGGCTCCACACGACTGAACTAAAATAAAAGAAAGTGAGTGTAACAAAATGATCATTGTTTACTCAGCTGTTTAGTTTTCCAAATCTTTGAATTCCTGTACAACGTGCTGAACCAATCAACATCAATCATTTCTGCAGTGATCAACGATTCATTCATTCATTAACGCTGGCTTCTAACTCCAATCCAGCTGCTTGTTGTCATTCATATAACTAAATTAAATATATAAACTGAATTTGATGTATATGCTGATTAAGTGGAAAGGTTGTGAGCAACTTACTGTTTATTGGTATAAGACTGTTGTCTCTGTTATTTGAATCAGAGGTGCTAGAAGATGCTGCAGGATACAGAGCAGATAACGCACATATACAGACAACACATCAGTCAGCTTCACTTTATAAACTTCTTTGACTTACAAATCAGTCCTGCTGCCAGCTGTACCTCCCTGATATGTGATCACAGTGAATCATCCTGTCCCCAGTATCCTCTTCTGTCACAACAACCCTCTGCATCTCCTCTTGCACCACGTCCATGAGCTGAGGTCTTCCTCTTTTCTCCCTGCTTGGCAGCTCCATTTTCAGCATCTTAGATCTCTGACTTCATCTCCAAATTGAGCAACCTGAGCTGTTCCTATGATGCACTCATTTCGTCAAATCTTGTTCCTGGGCACTCCTAATGAAAATCAACTCTGATGCCTCCAGCTCCTGTCTTTTTATCAGTGCCATACATCAGAGCTGGTATCACTACTGTCTGGTAAACCTTCCTTTTCTCTCTTGCTGCTATCATTGTGTCAGAGTTCACTACAAGACAGTCACCTCCACCCACTCCACCCTGCATGCAATCTTCTTCACTTCTCTTTTGCACCATCTGTTATTTTGGTTGACCCAAGGTATCTCCACTACTACTTCTATTCGTTGCATCTTTACTTTTCCACCTGCATTATCACAGTTCTTTTGCTGGTACATCAAAGAGTGAAAGTGTCAGGCCAGGACTCTGCAGTCTATTAACACCTACATGCTAGTGGACATGAGGGGGTTCACTTCCTGGCGTTCCAGGAGGAACGCTGGTTTGAGTGGGGTGTGAAGGAGGCCATTTACGTGAAAAGGGAAAGACCATCTCTGATTTGAGGGGGGAGCCTAAGGGTACATCTTTCAGCATCTTTCAGTGCTGTGATTGCAGCCATTCCCCAACTCTCTGTGAATGCTACTCATAGCCATTGATCAATGGTTTTTGATCAGTAGTTGTTGATCAATGGTCATGACAATTTGCATATTAATGATCAAGAAAATGGTTTAATGGTTTAATGCTTCCTCTGCCTGCAGGTTGAGAGGAGTTATTGTTACAAATTTGTCAGTAATGGTGCTTAAATGCACTTCTGTAAAGATCAAGACACATCATTGATCTATACTACATGGATACTATATTATTATTATATTATGTTATAGTGTGTCAAGAAGTTTAATTCATGTCCACTTACTGCAGGTCGGGCCTTGTGTCCAGCTTCCTTGTGTACAAACAGATTTTGTGTTGTGTGCTCCCTCTGCAGTGTATCCATCCTCACACTCATACTGCACTTCTGAACCTGCAGCAAACACTTCCTGGTAGTCCTGATGAACGATGACTGCATGGGGGATTTTAGGAGGCACGCTGCACGCATTCATGCTTTCTGTAAAATTAGATTTAGACTCAAAAACGTTATTAATCCCAGAGCAGGGCCGTTTGTTTGTAGCTTATTCACAGGATCAAACCCACAAAACCTACAGTCCTTAAACACTAATCATAAAAACTCCTGTGAGTTGAGTTATGGATCAAAGAAAAGTGAGGACCTGCTACTGTAAACAAATTACATAAAATGCCTTTATTAACAGCATTGGTCTCAAATTTGTTCTGTGTTGACCAGTATTAATTTGGTTGACCAATAGTTTTCATCATAGTGTGCAGACTGTGGTGTCCAACCGGATACTTACAGATACTTTGCAGTTAATCCAAATTGCTATAGCAAGAGTACTATCATCATATGTCTCCTGTATCATCTTCCCTTTATTGGCTCCTTTAAAATGCAGAATTAAATTTGACACTCCTCCTCTGACATAAAAGGTCTTAAATAAAGAGTTAAAGTTTCTAAAAGTAGAATGGGAGGCAGCACTTTCATCTATCAGGCCCTTCTTTTGTGGAACCTGCTCCCAGTTTAGATTGAGGAGACAGACACCCTCTCTACTTTTAAGATTAGCAGTTTAAGGATCTTGGAAAGAAGGCGACCAGATTTCTTTAAGTGGGTGAGCAAAGAAAGAAGAGCTATTGGCAGGACTTACCTATACACTGTGGCTGATGAGACCATTTTCCATTGTGACATGTGCTGGTTGCCCACCAACCCTTCATTGCTAGCATGCGTCCTTCGTTGCAGGTGTAGCTCAGCTTGGTGCCCTGAGAGTAAGTCTCTTGCTTTGGGGCAAAGAAGCCACCGTCCAGTGTGGGAGCATCACAGGCCTGTGTGGTGCTCTGTGCTGAAACACAACACTGAAGTAAGTGCAAAACATTATCAACCAGTGTAAATGTTTTTCTGTGAAGTTACTTGTTGTTCTCACCGTGCAGCACTCCAGGAAACCAAAGAAGAGCAAATGCAAAATATTTGATGCACATTTTTAAATCGTCCAACAACAAAGCAGCACCAGCAGTTAAAGGTAATCCACATGAGAACCAGCTACTTATCACAACTGTCACCCGAAAGTTTGTGCAATCACCTTGGCCCTTCCCATTTTGTGGGATGGAAAAAAGTTCGTACACATCCAAAACAACTTTTGAGAAAGAACGGGAGAAAAACCAGTATATATAAATATAAATATATATATATAATAAATATATTTATATATATTTATTTATATATATATAAATAAATATATATATATAATAAAATATATATAAATGTTAGAGCTCTGATCTAAAACTCATGAACTTCTTTCTTTTACAGCTAATTTATCGAGACTGGGGTTTTCCACAGCTTCTTTTCTCAGTGCTTTTGTTACATATCGTTACATCTGTTGATTTCATGCACACACCAACATCTTCCCGATGTCTACAAAACTTCTCATCACCCAGAAAATGAAGAGAAAATTGTTGGTTTTACTTTGCCGATTAGTTTGGTTTAAACATAGTGATTTCAAATTACATTATTCATGACATTTATTATTTCAGTGCGTATTGAATGAATAGAGCAACACATATTTTGCATTGATTTTATTAATCACACAGTGGATGTTGTGTTTGGGACATTTTCTCTGAAGCGACTCGAAATATTTACTTTGAAACATCAAATCAATGAAACTATTTACAGTCCAAATTTCAAAGTCATTTTAGATGGCCTACCACTCTGTGGCCGAGTTGCTGTCGTTCCCAATCACTTCCACTTTGTTATAATACCAATAACAGCTAAGTGTAAAATATTTAGCAGCAAAGAAATTTCACAACTGGACGTGTTGCACGGGTGGTGCATCCTATCCTATCACTGAGCTCCTGAGAGCGACTCATTCTTTCACAATGTTTGTTGACGTCTGCATGCCTGAGTGCTGGATTTTATAAACCTGTGGCCGAGTTTATTTTAGAAAAAGTTCAAGTAGGGACTCGGTCACCGTGATGCCTTTAACAGGCCACAGCTTAACAGCCATGGGATTGAAACTTTAATGTCACATCAAATTAGTGGCTGTACCACGCATTTAGTACATGCAAAAGTGAGCTGTGAAACATTTCTGCATCTTAGTCACTGTGAGCTTATTCATTAGGGTCCAAATGCAGGACTCAGAGGCTGCCATGATAAGATATAATAAAGAATGAAGATGACATGTTATGAGTACATTAAGTGGAGAAAGGAGGTGCTGGGCCCGATCCAAGGGTGAGAGAAGGATACACCCTGGACAGGTCGTCAGTCTGTCTGCAGTTGTGGCGTATTAATTCAGTTCAGTTTAATTCAGTATACTTACACTTGTATACATCTTTACACTTACACCTACGTTATCATGTGTATGTTCAGTAAGGACAATCTGTAAGTGTTCATCTGTCTGCTTTCTTGGCTGTTTGGCTGCTAGTCTGTTCATCACGTCACTTCCACTTTTTCACGGTGTCCTAGTCAGTGCTGACATCATTGCTCCACTCCAATCATCTAATCTGATCTAATTGCTTTTACTTTTTCCACACAGGGGCAGGTGGGTTTGAATAGCTTTATATCTCTTAATAAATGAAATCGTCATTTTTAAAGTGGATTTTGTATTTACTCAGGATATCTTTGTTGAATATTACAATATGAAAATAATTTTTTAAAGCACTGCATGTTTTAAGAATACTGTATTTCAGGGTTTACACATAAAAATTCAACCTTTATGCTGAGTCTAAGAAATCATTGTCCTGTTAACATAAATTACAAATTGTAAATTAATGTCAAAAGTGTTGGGAAAAGTGATTTTGTTATGACTTCTTCTCAAATGAGATACAGCAACTATTTCAGTCAGACTTCAGAGCTTTTCATAGTTCTGAAAAAGCTTTGTTGAAGGTGATCGATTATTTGTGACTCACATTAGATTCAGGAGATATCACAGCCCTCATTATTTTGGACATTAGCTGCTTTCTGCTTTTGATATTGTGAAGCACAAGAATCTTTGGGCTTGGCTCAAATGTTGGGTTGGATATAAGAACTTTCTCTGTGTCTGATGGTCAGTTCTTTAAATCTTCTGCTCCTGTTTCTTGGACCAGGACACCAAATGAGTGTTTTTGTGCCATCACAGACCTCTGACATTTTAAGCCTAAATATCAGTTGGACAAATATCTACTAAAAATCTTTGTTTAAATATAAATGTGTTAATAATATCTGTTTAAATTATTTCCTGAGATTATTTTCATGTTGGCTTAAAATAAAATATCTCCCTATGCTCTTACTGAATCTTCTGCATGCTTTTGGTCACTAACCAAAGCCAACACCATCATGAAGTAAAACAAATCAATAAACTTGTTCCTGTCTGCTTACTATAGTGTTTCCGTTATTGTTATTTATTAAATAATATTTTGGTGTGCATAGTAAAAGAACTGTTCTACACAGTTAGCAGACAAAGCAATACAAAGACGTCTCTGATGACGAAACATTTTATTCAGACCTCAGCCAGCCATCGACACTTTATGGATTCAATGTACACATCATGTACTGAGTGCATGAAAAGTTCAAATCATTTATGGACAGTTTGGTGTTTAGAGAACAATCAGCCCCAAAACTTGACAAAGAAAAGAAACATGTTTCATTGTTGCTCTGCAGGTTCTGGTTGAAGTGTTTCAGAAAGGTTGTGTTGTCAGTAGGATTCTCCGAATCTTCTGCAATCAGGCTGATTAAAACACAAACAAACAACAGCTGAGTGAAAAACATCAAGCACATTTATTTCAAAGAAACTATATTTGTTTGAAAATAAATCAAAGAATAACACTTACAAAATATTGAAATTCAGATACAGTACAGCCTAAAAAAGAAGCAGATAGTTTGTCAGTTAGAAGCTCAGATCCATAAACTTTATCAGTGAGGACTGATTCACTGCATTCAAAGATAAACCTACAGAGGAAAATCCTCTCTGTTCTTAAAGAGCCAGACTGCTTTTATTCCTCATGTTTTACTTTTATTCCACATTAACATTTGTTTAAGTTACTTCATTGTGTGTTTTGTAACCATAACAAACTGTTTTGTGGTGATTTGGGGGCAACTGGAACAAGTGTGGATGCTGCAAGGTTTGGAGGCCTATCTCCCCCTACCACCACTTCCCCTGCCAGTGGTGGACCCCCTCAGACATCGGTGCGTTGGTGGTTCTTTGTGTCCGGGGATGGGCGTCCAGGTACACACCGGCTCACTCCTTGGCGGCCGCTTATCGGGGCCTGGGGCTCGCTCGGGCCACTTCGGAGGGGGGGTGCCCCCGGCCTCCCGGCCTGGGGCTCGGTCACTCAGGCGCGGCTGGCTGCCGGCGGAGCTCACGGGCGCGTCACTGCAACTCCCCCTGGCTTCTGCTCCGCGGCTGCTGAGTGAGCCCTCATCTGGGACTCTCCTCAGCTCTTTCCGGGACAGTGGCGCGGCTGCCCCTCTGTTGGTCTTCCTTGGTCTCTTGTGTTCTGGGGGCCTCTGGATATCTGGAGTTTTGATCTCCACACCTGCTTCACGCCCTGGAGGACGGGGCTGTGGCCCCCCCACACCCTCTAGCAGATTATTACATGAAGGAACCTTTTAAAAAACAAAAAACAAACGCGTCCATGCTCACAGGTGTACACACGGGTGATCACACCCACAAACTACACCCTTTTTGGCTCCTACCTCAAAGCACACTGTGTTCTGTTGATCTTATGTGCTGCACAATAATGTTTAACATTTAGTATTTACTGTCATATTCCCATATATCATTGTGATGTTGTTTATTCTATTACTCTTGTTCTCTTCTGCTTGTTTTCTTTTTTCTTTCTCAGCAGGTGATCCAGGTGATTGATATATGCATTTTTTTTTTCTCTGCCCGTTCTGTTGGTTTTTGTCTTTTGCCCTTCTCCCCCGTCCCTCTTCTCAGCTGTTTCTCTTTCCCTCTTTCTTTCTCCCCTCCTTTCCCCCAGTCAAGTCTGTCCCGTATTCAGTAAGTGAAAATAAAATAAACAATAAAAGGTGAATCAAATGGACCATTACGGCAAGGCTGGGATGGTCAGTTTGGTAAAGTAAATCCGTTGGGCATCTTTCTTTGCCTTTAGACAACAATTCTGATGGCAAAAGAGCCAAACGGGACAGGCCAAAAAAAAAAGAAAAAAAAAAGGCCTTCCCCAAACTGCAGCACTATTCACACTTCCTTATCCCCCATCGCCCATTGTTACCAAGGATGTGGTCCTTGTTAGTGAAATCACTTTATAAACTTCTTTGACTTATAAATGAGTCCTGCTGCTAGCTGTACCTCCCTGATGTCCAGTAGTTCCTCTACTTGATGAGAACAGATAACTCATTAGTTATATGGTACATGCTGCATATATTTCATTGAGACATAGAGGTGCTGCGGGAGTACGCGTTGTCTGGCCCATTGCTATGGGCCATTCGATCCCTATACAACCGTTGCAAGAGCTTGGTTTGCATAGTCGGTAATAAGTCAGACTTGTTTCCCGTGGGTGATGGGCTTTGCCAGGGTTGCCCTTTGTCACCGATTCTGTTCATAACTTTTATGGACAGGATTTGTAGGCACAGCCAAGTGGCGGAGGGCTTTTACTTAGGTGGCCTCAGAATCTCATCTCTGCTTTTCGCAGATGATGTGGTCCTGTTGGCTTCATCGGGTGAAGGCCTCCAGTATGCACTGGAACGGTTCGCAGCCGAGTGTGAAGCGGCAGGAATGAGGATCAGCAACTCCAAATCTGAGAACATGGTTCTCAGCCGGAAAAGGGTGGAGTGCTCACTCCGGGTCGGGGATGAGTTCCTGCCCCAAGTGTAGGAGTTCAAGTATCTCGGGGTCTTGTTCACGAGTGATGGGAGAAGGGAGCGAGAGATTGTCAGACGGATTGGTGCTGCGGCCGCAGTGATGCAGACGCTGCACCGGTCCATCGTGGTGAAGAGAGAGCTGAGCGTAAAAGCGAAGCTCTCAATTTATCGGTCGATCTACGTCCCTACTCGAGCTGTGGGTAGTAGAACGAGATCGGGGATACAAGCGGCGAAAATGAGCTTCCTCTGAAGGGTGGCTGGCCTCTCCCTTAGAGATAGGGTGAGAGGTTCAGCCATCCGCGAGGGGCTCTGAGTAGAGCTGCTGCTCCTCCACATCGAAAAGAGCCAGTTGAGGTTGTTCGGGCATCTGACAAGGATGCCTCATGGGCGCCTCCTGGGTGAGGTGTTCCAGGCATGTCCCAGCAGGAGGAGGCCCCGGGGCAGACCCAGGACACGCTGGAGAGATTATATCTGTCGGCTGGCCTGGGAACGCCTTGGTATTCCCTCGGATAATCTAGAGGAGGTGGCTGGGGAGAGGGAGGTCTGGGCTTCTCTGCTTGGGCTGCTGCCCCCGTGACCCGGCCCCGGAAGAAGATGGATGGATGCATGGATGGATGGACCCTGTCTGACACTCTCTTCACCTCCACAACACTATACACATGTGCTTGCTTTAAGGACATTCCTATTCTGTTTCTCTCCCAGGCTACTTCATGGTTTGAGTCCACCCCCAATTTTCATTTGTATTTCTTTTGTGGCTTACTAACTGGTGTTGTTCTATAACTAATGATTTGCAAGTCTTGTTTGTCAGTCAAAATAAAGAAAGATGTGTGAATGAGTGTTTTCAAAACATTGCTACAAGGTATATCTATATTTTATAAAGAGAATAAATAAATGGTTTAATACTTCCTCTGTCTGCAGGTTGAGAGGAGTTATTGGTACAAACTTGTCAATAATGGTGCCTAAATGCTCTTCCGTGAAGATCAAGTCACACCATTGATCTGTACTACGTGGCTACTATATTATTATAATATTATGTTATAGTGAGTCAAGAATTTTAACTCATGACCACTTACTGCATGTTGGCACTGGTGTCCAGTTTCCCTGTATACAAACAGATTTCTCGGTGTGTGCAGTGTATCCATCTTCACACTCATACTGCACTTCTGAACCTGCTGCAAACACTTCCTGGTATCCATGAATGATGACTGCATGGGGGATTTTAGGAGGTGCACTGCATGCACTCATACTTCCTGTAAAAATAAAAAGTCATGAATAGAAGCAGAAAAAAAGTGTTGAACAGCTAACTGGAGTCAAACATGTGGCAGACTTACTCTCACAGACTGGTGCAGAGGACCATTTTCCATTTCCACAGGTAGTGGTGTTGATCTGGTTTTGGTGCTCAAATCCTCCATCGCATGTTATCGTTAGTGTACTTCCATCCTCATACCAGCCGTTTGAGTTTTTAGGGTACTTTCCATTGGGAATAGTTGGTCCAAAACAGGCGCTTTCATCTGAGGAAGAACAGACCAGAGTCACCATCAACACTTTGAGATTTTACAGAGTAACTATAATTACAACTTTCTGATTGCGAACAGCAACATGCCGCATTAAATGTTGTGAATAGTTAATTCAAGGAATTACTGGAAGAAAGTTTTCGTTATTATTCCTTGTGAGAGACTGAAATTCCTAGTTTGTAATTCTTAAAAAATACGATAATATAATTTTTTTATACTTGACACAAAAACATTAAATTAAACTTCACAATTCTTCAATTGGATTTTATTGCTTTTTATATTTATTTACTGAAATAATCAGATTTCATCGTTCTTTTTCCTCAATTGAGTTGATTTTTTTTTTTTAGCAAATCTAAACTAATTACATTGTTCCTTAAGAACAGAATTTCATTTTCATCTTTGGTAAAAGATGGTAAAAGAATTCACCATTCCCGGGACTGACCTACCTATACATTGCGGTTCATGAGACCATTTCCCACGTTCACAGGTACTGGTTGCCCACCAACCCTCCACTACAGGTTTATATCCGTTATCACAGGAATAAGTGATCGTGGTTCTGTCAGAGTAAGCCTCTTGTCTGGGGAGAAAGTTACCATGAACCAGTCTGGGAGGATCACAACCCTGTGCTGATGTACAATAAAGAAAATTGTTTAAAATCCCACATAAGTCTCACATTTACAAACTATAACAGAATTGAATCTTCTTACCTTGAAGCAATCCAGGAAACAAAACGAGGACAAATCCAAGAGTCCTGAGACACATTTTGCAGCAATGAAAGCACGATGTGAAGGCAGAGTAAAGAGCCGTGTTCTGCTGGACGAGTTAATAATTGTTGGGAATTTCCCCCAAAGAACTAAGAAGTCAGGACACAGTAAACATTGCGCTGAGTAACTCTGGCTCTGGTCCATATTTCTTAGACATGTTGTATAAACAAACTATTGCTGTCAGTAGATTAAAAAAAACAAACCTTAATTAATCTCACAATTTTCTGTAATTAATCACGATTAATGGCATATACTTGATCAACAGCCTGGTTGCATATACATTTTTTTTCAACTTTATATTTAAGCTTATAACTGACATTTATGCAATATAATGAAGCAAATGCAGAATAAACACAAAGAATGTATGCTTAAATTCAAAGAGGATTTGTGTAGTTTTCTTCAATCTTTTAGCACAGGTTCTCTGCTGTGAAATATACCTTAAAAAAACTATGTACTAATAAGTAAGTATACACTAATATTTTAAGCTGGAGGTGCTTCGGTGAAAAGAAAATTCCTTCTTGCACAACGTGCATAATACTTTATGTTGGTCGATTGTTCCATCTTGTTATGTTTTAAATACTCAAATTTCCCATTGAGAGGGCCAATGTGCGTTTATCATTTTCCATATTGAGTTGATTGGGTCAGCTGCCCGTTAGTGGCATATTGAAATATTGACTTTTTTTTTACCAGTAATTTATGTTCTAGAATCGATTCTCGTATTAAAATATTGATATTTTAGTACTTTGGGGAAAATTTGTAGTTTTTCTTTAACAGGAACACAGTGGAAAGAAACTATATCATTCGGATCGTCTAAATTAGAAGGAACTACTTCTTCTTACACATTTCACAGTCATATGCAAAATATGGCTGTATAAATGTGTCGCAGCCCCTTGGCGTGCGCACTCACAACAATGTGTGTGTGACGGAGTCATGTGTGGACGTATTTTACCTCCACAAACAGCCAAGACGCGGTGGCAACACCACTAACCTCGTCAAACACCTCAAATCATATCACAGAATATGATGAGCTTATGTTGAGGCGAACTGAAGAGGAGGAGAGGGACAGGTGCTGCTAGGGAGAGACAGATGTCTCTTGCCGAGTCCTTTAGTCAGGCAACATGCTCAAATAGCGCACAACTTCAGGTTTTTTATTTCTATATGATTATTCTGCATCATTAATAATAAGAACAAGTAGACTGATTCTTCTCTGGAGAGAGACCTGACCTCTGTGGCATCTGTGGTTGAAGTTTCCATAGTGACAACTGCTACAGATGGGTCCAGTGACTGTTGGAGAGGCTTGATGATGACAAAAGTTTCAGACTCTATTATTAACATGCCTTTGTTATAGCTATACTTCTCTATATTTGCTAAACTGTTCCTTGGACAAGCTTCACCTCAGTCCAGTGTAATATATTCATATTCCAGGTATTCCTCATAAAATGAGTTTGTGAGATGAGACCATTTTGATAATTATGTATTTTTTTCATTAATTTAAGTAAATTGCAGTTTTTGTATCACTACCTCACTCTTTCACAAGTGGTGTCAAAAATGACCCGGAGCAGTTCCTATGGAATCTTCTATGAACCTTTAATTCTTCGCATCTCTGACTGTCCCCCTTAGACATCTACCTGCCAAGTATGGCATTAAAATCTTTTGGGTGTGTGATGCACCCACCCCATATGCAATTGATGGGATCATGTACCTAGGGAGACAACCAGGGGAAGACATCCAGAAGAATCTGGGGGAAAACATTGTCCATCAGTTGTGTCTTCACCAGTGTGCCTCTTGCAGAGCATCTCCTGGAGAAGGGTCTTACTATTGTGGGAACTTTGCGACAGAACAAGCCAGACACTCCTCCAGTTATGAAGGCTTCCAGGTCTAGAGAGGTCCACGGCACTGAATATGGGTTCAATGGCAGTGTGACCATGATCAGCTATGGGAGAAAAAAGGGAACGGCTGTTCTGCTGCTCAGCACAATGCACCACAGCGAGATGGAGGATGAAAACAGCCCGAAGCAAAAACCAGAAGCAGTTCTCTTCTACAACCAGACCAAAGGAGGAGTAGATACTATGGACCAGATGGTTGGCAACTACATTTGCAAATGCCAGACGCAAAGGTGGCCCACGGTGCTTTGGTACAACATGATTGATGTCGCTTGTGACACCTCACATGAACAGTCGACTGGAAGGTACCCCGACCCTACCAACCTACATCACTAAAGCAATGGGAAGGTGTGGAGGGACAAAAAGTGCTCCGATCTGGCAACAGGAAAGAAGCACACAGCAGAAGAGAAAGAGGTGCCAGTTGGGTCCAAGAAACAAAGATCGCAAAGCCACTGATTGCTGCTTTGTGACAGCTGCACACAGTGAAAGGAGATAAGATGTTTGTGTGTGTATATATACGTGGACAGGGTTATGGTCTCTGGACCTGTTGAATGTTCTCTGTTCGTCCTCCATATAGGGACACACAAACATGTTTTGACACCTAATTGACCTGATTGATGGTTAAGTGCTAAAATGTGAAGGAAAGGAAAGAATTTACATGTCAAGTCTGCATGAAAGAATTTAAAGGAAGTCTAGAAATGCACGTCAGGACTCACTCAGGTAAGGAAGCAAAGGAATCAGTGGAAAGTGTCATTGTTAGGCTGCTTTTTTTATTCTTTACATCACTACCACTTTCCCACGCTGATAATCTCAATACTCTCCTTATTGAAACATCATTAATATTATGATATGACATAACCCCAATCACAGCTTGAACTAAATCCTTAACGTTTTGCTTGGTTTTGGAAATGAAGCTCTCTGCTACATTCTTATTCCAAAATGGATTTATTATTAAAAAATACAAAACAAAAACACAACATGTACATAAGTGTTTACTGCCTTTGCCAAGACACTCAAAACTGAGGTAATGATTTATAGGACCAGGATCAACAAAAAAAAACCCTTAACCTAAAAATTATAGTTCATACAAGTTTTTGGTTTATTGTCAACATATATAAAGTATTGTATAAAGATTTAAAATATCATGTGACCTCATGTGACCATGTAATGGATGATAAAATGTATTTTATCTCAGAATCTGTCACAGACACCCAGTGTTTGTTATTGTCTGACTAAATGCATTTTTCTCCCACATATTAAACATGTAACCAAAATTGGATTTTATCATCTAAAGAATATAGCCAGAGTCCGCCCTATTCTCTCTCGGGTCAACACGGAGATGCTGATGCATGCTTTTATTACCAGTCGCATTGATTACTGTAATGCCCTGCTCTCTGGTCTTCCTAAAAAGAATATTCCACCTTTACAACTTTTACAAAACCCGGCAGCTCGTGTGCTGACGAAGACCAGAGGGCGGGCCCACATTACACCGGTTTTAGAATCGCTGCATTGGCTCCCCGTGTGTTTCAGGATCGATTTTAAAGTTCTTTTATTGGTTTTTAAATGTTAAATGCTTCTACCATATGAACCCTCGCGGACCCTGAGGTCCTCTGGTGCTGGCCTTTTGATCGTCCCTAAAGTCAGGACACATACTCACGGAGAGGCAGCGTTTCAGTGGTATGGTCCTCGTCTGTGGAACAGCCTGCCGGAGGAGCTCAGGGCCGCAGAGAACGTACATGTTTTTAAGAACCGGCTCAAGACCCACCTTTTTAATTTAGCTTTTACTTAACGTTTATTTATTTTATGCTTATTTATTCTATCCTGTTATTCTATTATTAATTTAGGCTTTACCTAATATTTATTGATTTTATTCTTATTCATTTTTTATCTTCTTACTCTATTTATATTTATATTGTATCCCGTTCTTATTTATTTTATCGTTTTACCCTGTATATATCCTATTGTGTCATATCTCCAGTGTTTCCTCGGAGGGCGCTCTCTGTACCGGGGCTGTGACCGACCGTGGCTGCTGTGGCTCTGGGGTCCTTTCAGCCTGGCTGGGGGGCTTCTTTGCCTCCCTCCTGCTGTGTGCCCAGCCTGGAGGCTGCGGTCTGTGACCGGCTCCCGGTGCAGACGGCTCCCTGTTATAGTGTTTCCTCACTTGGCTCATGCGTACCCAGCCCAATTTTACTCTTTAAGTGTGCATGTGTGCGTGTGTGTGTGTGTGTGTGTGTGTGTGTGGTGGGGGGGGGGGGGGGTATGTGTGCATTCACATCGTTTATGTTAATGAGAGTGTGGGGAGTGACTTGGAGGGTGGGGTGGGGTGGGCTGCTTTTAACCATGTAAAGCACTTTGTGCTACATTTTTTTTTTGTATGAAAAGTGCTTTATAAATAAAGATTGATTGATTGATGAGGACGAGGTGGACAGCAGCTTTAAATGGTCTAGTTTCAATTACAGATCGTTTAAACTGTGAAGGTCTGCCTTTAAGTACCAAGGCCTCAGAGAAGAGCTCGAGAAGATGTGGAGGGTGAACAGTGGTCCGTGTAGTAATCAGAGCAGTCCATGCAGCGACTCCCAAGCTAGACGAGTGACTTCGGCAGATCCCAGAAACAACATCTGAGATCTGTCCAGAAGAGCGCAGCTAAGATACTGCACGAGACTCTCAAGCCCTTGTAGAGGACCCGAGCTTGAAGGATAAAGACCGCCCGGCCTTTTATTAGTGTAATAAAACGTGTAAGAACCTTATTAAAAACACTCAGAAAGTGAAAGTTAAACGGTAAAGAAATGTAAAACAAAGAGGGGTTTTTTCTTTTCTTTACTGTTTTCCTATAACTTTGATCAGAATTGTTTGAGAATTCAATATTCCAAATATTTTAAAGTGGTAATGTTTTTTTTTTCTTTCCAAACTTTGTTTCTTAATCAATAAATGACAACTGAAAAATAAATAAACAAAAGATGTGTTTTAGTTTGTAGGATCTTTGAGTGTCTGGTGGCTCCAGGTAGGACAGGACATGTGAGAACCTTTAGCAACTTGTCACCCTGACACTTCAAAATCAGTGCTCTTCAGATACAAACAAGAACAATAAAGAGCAGCAGGAGTCCTGGGCCCCGTTCTTCGTACCTCGCTAAGTAGGTTAGCCGGATTAGATTGTTGACGATTTCGC